CTCGGGGCCCCCCCGCGGGCGTTGCCACGGCACCGGCAGCGGGGCTCGGGGCAGCCGCGGGCACCGCGCCACGCGGGGAGGGGGCACGGGGGGGCCCGGGCGAGTTTGGGACCCCCCACCCCCAAAAAAGACCCCCCCCCACTCTGCTCAAGGGGGGCGGCGGCCCACGCGTGTTCCGCGGCCCCCGGGGGGTTTGGGGGGCACCACGCGGGGGTCCGGGGAGGAATTTGGGGTGGGGGTCCCGCGTGGGGGGGTGGCACCTACGCGGGTGGCACGCGGGGGGGTCCCGGGGGGGCTGTCCCGCGTGGGGAGGGTCGGGTCGGTGATTTTGGGGCGGGGGGTCCCGCGTGGGGGGTGCCCGGCTGAGTTGCGGGGTGTCCGAGGGGTACTCCGGGTGTCGCGGGGGGCGTCACGCGTGGGAGGGGATCCCGGGGGTGGCTTTCTGAGGTGGGGGGGGAGTCTGTGGGGGGGTCCCGCGTGTTTTTGGGGTGCTGCGAGTGGGTTTGGGGTGCTCAGGGTGGGTTTGGGGCGCTCAGGGTGGGTTTTGGGTGCCCAGGGTGGGTTTTGGGTGTCCCGCGTGGGTCTGGGGTGCCCCGCGTGGGGCGGGCTCCGCGCGTGGGGTGCCCGGCTGGGGCGCGGGGTGGGTGGGCACAGTGGGGATGTGGGTGGGTGGGTGGGGGGGGGGTTGTTTTATTTTTTTTTTTTGGGGTGCCCCGCGTGTCTCCGCGCCCCGCGTGGCTCCGTGCCCCGCGTGGGCGCCCCGGGCCGCCCCTACTCACCCCTCTGCCCATGGCGCTGCCGTCGCCGTCGCCAGCCCGGGACAATTTTGGGGGGGGCGCGGCGACAGCGGCCGAGAAAAACCCGGCGGGCCCCGCCCGGGCCGGCCCCCCCCCGCCCCCATCCCGCCCCCCGCCGCCCTCCGGGGGTCCCGGGGGGGCGCGGGAACGCAGGTGCGTGCGGGGGGAGGGGGCGACCCTTCCTGACCCCCCCAAATCCAGCGGGACCCCCACATCCGGACCCCCCGCGGGGGGGGGCGGCTCGTTTTTGGGAGCAGGGGGTGACGCCGCGGGGGTGTTTTGGGGGGTGTTGTTTGTTTTTTTGGGGGGTCCCCAGCCCGGTGGGTGCCCGGTGCTCCCGGTGTGACCCCGCCTGGCACCGGGAGGTGCCCGGGAATGCGGCCGGGGGCTAAAATTAGCCCGGGAATGGCGGAGAGTTCGGGGGGACACCGAGGGGGTGTGCGGGGGGCTGTGCCGGGAGTCCGGCTGTTCCCGGGGATCGGCTGTTCCCGGGGCTGTTCCCAGGGTCTGACTGTTCCTGGAGCTGTTCCCGGGGATCGGCTGTTCCCAGGGATCGGCTGTGCCCGGGGTCTGACTGTTCCCAGGGTCTGACTGTTCCTGGAGCTGTTCCCAGGGGTCTGACTGTTCCCAAGGATCCAGCTGTGCCCAGGGTCCGGCTGTGCCCAGGGATCGGCTGTTCCCAGGGGTCTGACTGTTCCCAGCGTCCGGCTGTGCCCAGGGTCTGACTGTTCCTGGAGCTGTGCCCGGGGTCTGGCTGTTCCCAGGGATCGGCTGTTCCCAGGGGATCCACGGCACCCCAGGAGCGGCTGTACCCACAGACACGGCTGTTCCCAGGGTCTGACTGTTCCCAGGAATCCAGCTGTGCCCGGGATCCAGCTGTGCCCAGGGTCTGGCTGTGCCCAGGGATCGGCTGTTCCCAGGGGTCTGACTGTTCCCAGCGTCCGGCTGTGCCCAGGGTCTGACTGTTCCTGGAGCTGTGCCCGGGGTCTGGCTGTTCCCAGGGTCCGGCTGTTCCCAGGGGATCCACGGCGCCCCAGGAGCGGCTGTACCCACGGACACGGCTGTTCCCAGGGTCTGACTGTTCCCAGGAATCCAAATGTTCCCGAAATCCGGCTGTTCCCAGGGACCAACTGTGGCTAGATCTGGCTGTTGCCAGGATCCGACTGTTGCTGGGATCTGACAGTTCCCGGGATCCGGCTGTTCCCAGGATCAGGCTGTGCCCACCCCGCTTCATTCCCGGTGTCTGATTGTTCTTGGGCTCCGGCTGTTCCCTGTAATTCCTGGGCTCCGGCTGTTCCTGGGCTCCGGCTGTTGCCAGGATCCGGCTGTTTCCGGTGTCCCCTTGTCCCCAAACTCCAGCTGTTCCTGTGTCCGGCTGTTCCCGGTGTCCGGCTGTTCCCGGTGTCTGGCTGTTCCTGTGTCTGGCTGTTCCTGTGTCTGGCTGTTCCCGGTGTCCGGCTGTTCCCAAACTCTGGCTGTTCCTGTGTCCGGCTGTTCCCAAACTCTGGCTGTTCCCGGTGTCTGGCTGTTCCCAAACTCCGGCTGTTCCCAAATTCCGGCTGTTCCCAAATTCCGGCTGTTCCTGTGTCTGGCTGTTCCCACCACCCCCCCCCAGTGTCCCCAGTGCCGTGCCAAGATCCCCTCCCAGTACGCCCCCCGCTTTCCCGGCTTGGTCTCCATGGCAACCGCCAAGGGCAGCTCAAGAGCGGGGGGGGGGGGCACCGGTGACACCAGTGACACCAGTAACCACCAGTGACACCAGTAACCACCAGTGACACCAGTAACAAGTGACACCAGTAACCACCAGTGACACCAGTCTGAACTGGTGACACCGGTGACACCAGCAACCCCCCAGTAACACCAGTAACACCAGTCTGCACCAGTTATCAGCTCCTCCACCCCACAACTCCGCTCCCTGTGCCGGCCGCGCCCTCCAGTGCCGCCCAGTATCCTCCCAGTATCCTCCCAGTATCTTCCCAGTACAGACCCTGGCACTCCCCATCCAGCCCTGCAGCCTCGGTGCAGACCAGTAACCCCAGTCCAAACCAGTAACCCCAGTGCAGACCAGTAACCCCAGTCCGAATCAGTAACCCCAGTCCAAACCAGTAACCCCAGTGCAGACCAGTAACCCCGGTCCAAACCAGTAACCCCAGTGCAGACCAGTAACCCCAGTCCAAACCAGTAACCCCAGTGCAGACCAGTAACCCCAGTCCAAACCAGTAACCCCAGTCCGAACCAGTAACCCCAGTCCAAACCAGTCCCCTCAGTTCCGACCTGCACCCCAGTTCCTCCCAGTCTGCCCCAGTTTATCCCAGTACTGCCCAGTCTGCCCATTGTCCCCAGCACCTCCCAGTCCATCCCAGTCTCCCCAGTCCTCCCAGTGCCCCCAGTCCACCCCAGTCCATCCCAGTTCCCCCAATCCTCCCAGTCCCTCTCAGCACTTCCCAGTTCCCCCAGTCTGTCCCAACGCCCCCAGTTCCCCCTGTGCTATTCTTCCCAGTGCTCCCAGTCTGTTCCAGTTCCCCGGGGTCCATCCCAGTTCCCCCAGTCCATCCCAGTGCCTCCAGTCTATCCCAGTTCCCTCAGTCCTCCCAGTTCCCCCAGTGCCTCCCAGTCCTCCCAGTGCCTCCCAGTCTGTCCCAGTCCTCCCAGTTCCCCCAGTCCATTCTAGTCCTCCCAGCGCCCCCCAGTCCATCCCAGTCCATCCCAGTACCTCCCAGTGCTCCCAGTTCCCACAGACTGTTCCAGCCCCTCCAGTCCACCCCAGTCCTCCCAGTGCCTTCCAGTCCTTCCAGTCCATCCCAGTGCCCCCAGTCCCCCATAGCCATGGCTGCTTCCCCTGCTCCTGCCCCCCCGTGTCCCCCCCCCGTGTCCCCCCGTGTCCCCCTCCCCAATTTCCCCCCCGTGTCCCCCCACCATGTCCCCCCCGTGTCCCCCCGTGTCCCCACCCATGTCCCCCCGTGTCCCCCTCCCCAATTTCCCCCCCGTGTCCCCCCGTGTCCCCCCGTGTCCCCCCGTGTCCCCCCGTGTCCCGCTGTCCCCCCCGTATCCCCCAATGTCCCCCCCCGTGTCCCCCCGTGTCCCGCTGTCCGCAGCTGCACAAACAGCGCTGACGCGGGACCGCGGCCCCGTGCCGGGACCGTCCCCACGGGGGTCCCGGGACCGCCCCGCGCCCCCCCTGCCCCCCCGGCCCTGCCCCCAGTCCCTCCCAGTAATCCCAGTCCCTCCCAGTCCCCCCCAGTCCCTCCCAGTCCCTCCCAGTCCCTCCCAGTCCCTCCCAGTCCCGCGCAGCTGCCGCCGTGGGCGGCAGGAATGCGGCACGGGGGGACCCGGGGGGGACAACACGCGTGTCCCACGGGGGGGGGGGGCGCGTGGCCTCGGGGGTCGCTGATTTTGGGGGGGTCACGGCCCCTCCCCCACCCCCACGCGCGACGGGGGAGGGGCGTGGTCAGGGTGGGCGGGGCTTTGGTGGCGCTCAGCGCCCGTTCGGCCCCGCTCGGCCTCGTTCGGTTCTTTTCGGCATCTTTCGGTTCCTTTCGGTTCCTTTCGGTTCCTTTCGGTTCCATTCGGCCCCGCTCGGTTCCGCGGCCCCCCCCCACTCCCCTCCCGCTTTTGGGGGATCCCGTGGGGATATTGGGGAGGGGGGCTCCGTGTCCTCGCCCACCTCAGCGACCCCCGGCCCGCGCTGTCACGGGGGTCTCGGCGCTCCCCGCCCACCCTGGGGGTCCTCATGTCCTTAGGGGGACCCCAACCCCACCCTAAGGGTCCTTGAGGGACCCCCACACCCACCCTGGGGGTCTCCCCATGTCCTTGGGGGGACCCCCAAAAGACCCTGGGGGTCTCCATGTCCTTAGGGGGACCCCAACCCACCCTGGGGGTCCCCATGTCCTTAGGGGCACCCCAACCCCACCCTAAGGGTCATTGAGGGACCCCCACACCCACCCTGGGGTCCCCATGTCCTTGGGGGGACCCCAACCCACCCTGGGGGTCCCCATGTCCTTAGGGGGACCCCAACCCACCCTGGGGGTCCCCATGTCCTTGGGGGGTGGCACTGACCCCTTCCTGCCCCCCCCTGCAGGAATTGGGGTCAGGGCGCTGTGCCCACCCCGATTTCACCCCAAATTCCTCGGGGGACCCCTCTAAACTGCCCCTCCCGCCAGGCCCCAAGTCCAGGGACACCCCAAAAATCCAGAGACACCCCAAAACCGCCACCACCACCCTCACGGGGGGAGATTTATTAAACAGGGTCACCCAGATTTTGGTGGCATCACTGTGACCCGGGGCTGACCGAGGTCCCGTTGCTCTCATGGGGGATTTTGGGGTTCCCTTTGTCCCCACAAACCCAGGGACACCCCAAAAGGCCAGAGACACCCCAAAACAACCACCACCATCCTAATGGGGTTGGATTTTTGCTATTTACACCCAGATTTTGGCAGCATCACCGCGACTCGGGGCTGGCCAAGGTCCTGTTGGTCTCCTGAGAGATTTTTTGGGTCCCCCCTCGTCCCCACAAACCCAGGGACACCCCAAAAGCACAGGGACACCCCAAAGGGCCAGAGACATCCCAAAGGGCCAGAGACATCCCAAAACCCACCACCACCACCATCATAATGGGGGATTTTTGCTATTTACACCCAGATTTTGGCGGCATCACCACGACTCAGGGCTGGCCAAGGTCCCGTTGCTCTCATGGGGGATTTTGGGGTCCCCCCTCGTCCCCACAAACCCAGGGACACCCCAAAAGCCCAGGGACACCCCAAACCCACCACCACCATCCTAACGGGGCTGGATTTTCAGTATTTACACCCAGATTTTGGCGGCATCACCGCGACTCGGGGCTGGCCAAGGTCCCGTTGCTCTCGCGGGGGGACATTTCGGGGTCCCCCTCGCCCCCCGCCGCCGCCGCCTCGTCCAGGCGGCTGGGGATGGACCAGTAGAGGTGGGCATCGCGGCGGGCGGCGGCGGCTGCCAGCTGGCGGGCGCTGCAGGCCGGCGTGGGCACGGGCACCGTGTGGTGGAAGCCGCCGTAGTCCACCTCGTAAAAACCTTCCTCCAGGCTGAGCAGCGGCGTGAAGCGGTGACCCCACAGCACCTCGTCCGCCAGGTAGGAGCTGCGCGCCTGGCACGTCATCCCTGGGGGCACCCCGATACCTGAGTGACCCTGGGCATGGGGACCCCAATGCCTGAGTGACCCAGGGCATGGGCACCCCGATATCTGAGTGACCCAGGGCATGGGCACCCCGATATCTGAGTGACTCAGGGCATGGGCACCCTGATATCTGAGTGACCCTGGGCATGGGCACCCCGATATCTGAGTCACTCGGGGCATGGGCACCCCGATATCTGAGTGACCCAGGGCATGGGCACCTCGATACCTGAGTGACCCTGGGCATGGGCACCCCAATATCTGAGTGACCCAGGGCATGGGCACCCTGATATTTGAGTGACCCAGGGTATGGGCACCCCGATACCTGAGTGACCCAGGGCATGGGGACCCCAATGCCTGAAGAATCCAGGGCATGGGTACCCCAAATCTGGTAGGAGGGTCTGTGAAACCCCCAGGGTCTGGGGCACCCCAATACCTGAGTGACCCAGGGCATGGGCACCCTGATATTTGAGTCACCCAGGGCACAGGCACCCCAATACCTGAGTCACCCAGAGCACAAGGACCCTGATATTTCAGTCACCCTGAGTGTGGGGACCCCAGCACCTGAATCACTCAGGGCATGGGGACCCCAATATCTGAATCACTCAGAGTATGGGGACCCCAACACCTGAAACCCCCAGGGCATGGGGACGCCAATACCTGAGTGCCCCAGGGCACGAGCACCCCGATATCTGAGTCACTTGGGGCATGAGAAACCCCAAATCTGGTAGGAGGGGTCTGTGAAACGCCCAGGATTTGGGGCACCCCAACACCTGAGTCACTCTGGATATGGGGACCCCGATATCTGAATCACCCAGGGCATGGGGACCCCGATATCTGAGTGACCCAGGGCATGGGCACCCCGATACCTGAGTGACCCAGGGCATGGGGACCCTCATATTTGAGTCACTCGGGGCATGGGGACCCCGATACCTGAGTGATCCAGGGCACGAGCACCCCGATATCTGAGTGACCCAGGGCATGGGGACCCTCATATTTGAGTCACTCGGGGCATGGGGACCCCGATACCTGAGTGATCCAGGGCACGAGCACCCCGATATCTGAGTCACTTGGGGCATGAGAAACCCCAAATCTGCTAGGATGGGTCTGTGAAACCCCCAGGGTTTGGGGCACCCCAACACCTGAGTGACCCAGGGCATGGGCACCCCAATATCTGAGTCACCCAGAGCATGGGGACCCCAATGCCTGAAGAATCCAGAGCATGGGAAACCCCAAATCTGCTAGGAGGGGTCTGTGAAACCCCCAGGGTTTGGGGCACCCCGATACCTGAGTGACCCAGGGCATGGGCACCCCAATACCTGAGTCACTCTGGATATGGGCACCCCGATATCTGAGTGACCCAGGGCACGGGCACCCCAATGCCTGAGTGACCCAGGGTATGGGCACCCTGATATCTGAGTGACCCAGGGCACGGGCACCCCGATATCTGAGTGACCCAGGGCATGGGGACCCCGACACCTGAGTGACCCTGGGCATGGGCACCCCGATATCTGAGTGACCCAGGGCATGGGCACCCCGATACCTGAGTGACCCTGGGCATGGGGACCCCGATACCTGAGTCACTCTGGATATGGGCACCCCGATATCTGAGTGACCCAGGGCACGGGCACCCTCATATTTCAGTCACTGGGGGCATGGGGACCCCAATATCTGAGTGACCCAGGGCATGGGGACCCCAACATCTGAGTGACCCAGGGCACGAGCACCCCGATATCTGAGTCACTCGGGGCATGAGAAACCCCAAATCTGGTAGGAGGGGTCTGTGAAACCCCAGGGTTTGGGGCACCCCAATACCTGAGTGACCCAGGGCATGGGGACCCCGATACCTGAGTCACTCAGGGCACGGGCACCCCAATATCTGAGTGACCCAGGGCATGGGCACCCCGATACCTGAGTGACCCAGGGCATGGGCACCCCGATATCTGAGTCACCCAGGGCATGGGGACCCCGATATCTGAGTGACCCAGGGCATGGGGACCCCAATGCCTGAAGAATCCAGGGCATGGGAAACCCCAAATCTGGTAGGAGGGTCTGTGAAACCCCCAGGGTCTGGGGCACCCCAACACCTGAGTGACCCAGGGAATGGGCATCTGATATTTGAGTCACCCAGGGCACAGGCACCCCAATACCTGAGTCACCCAGAGCACAAGGACCCTGATATTTCAGTCACCCTGAGTGTGGGGACCCCAGTACCTGAATCACTCAGGGCATGGGGACCCCAATATCTGAATCACTCAGAGTATGGGGACCCCAACATCTGAAACCCCCAGGGCATGGGGACCCCAACACCTGAGTGACCCAGGGCATGGGGACCCCAACACCTGAAGAATCCAGGGCATGGGAAACCCCAAATCTGCTAGGAGGGGTCTGCGAAACCCCCAACCTTTGGGGCACCCCAATACCTGAAGGCCCCATAGCACCTTGTCCACCAGGTACGAGGGTTGGGGAGGCCCCAGAAGTTGGGGGGCCAAGGGCACTCCGGTATTGGAAGCCCCCAGGGCATGGTGGGACCCCAAATGTGGTAGAAAGGGTCTGTGAACCCCCAGGGCTTGGGGCACCCCAATACCTGAAGCCCTCAGGACACGGGACACCCCAAACCCATCTGGGGGGGGTCTGTGCTGCACCCCCATCTTGGGGGACCTCAAATCTGGTAGAGGGGGCTGTGAAGCCCCCAGCAGAGATGTCCCCATGGAGGTGAGGTGTCCCCATGGAGGTGTCCCCATGGATGTTGTCTGTCCCCATGGAGGTGATGGGTCCCAAGAAGACGATGTCCCCACAGAGATGAGATGTCCCCATGCAGATGAGATGTCCCCATAGAGGTGATGTGTCCTCATGGATGTGTCCCCATCGATATGAGACGTCCCCATGGAGGTGATGTGTCCTCATGGAGATGTCCCCATGGAGATGTGTCCTCATGGAGATGTCCCCACAGAGATGAGATGTCCCCATGCAGATGAGATGTCCCCATGGAGGTGACGTGTCCTCATGGACGTGTCCCCATCGATATGAGATGTCCCCATAGAGGTGACGTGTCCTCATGGACGTGTCCCCATTGATATGAGACGTCCCCATGGAGGTGTTGTGTCCTCATGGAGATGTCCCCACAGAGATGAGATGTCCCCATGGAGACGTTGTGTCCTCATGGAGGTGTCCCCACAAATCTGTCCCACAGAGATGGTGTGTCCCACAAAGACGATACATCCCCACAAAGACGATGCGTCCAACGGAGATGACATCCCCACAAATGTATCCACACAAAGACACCGTGTCCCCGTGCCACCGAGGCGTCCCCACACCACCAAGGTGTCCCTGTGCCACCAAGGCGTCCCCGCCCCGTTTACCTGTGGCCTCCACCATGCCCTCGAGGATGACGACGATCTCGAAGTCGTCCCTCTCCAGCTGCCCCCGTGACACGTCCCAGAAGGGGCTGCGCTCGTCGATCTCGTGGCTGATGATGAGCGGCGACACCAGGAAGAGCCGATCGTCGCCCGTCTCGAAGCCCACGCTCAGGTCGGTCTGGTCCAGCGGGATGAACTCTCCCTCCTGGGTCTGCTTGGACTGGATGAGCTTGGCGCGGATGGATGCCTCCACGATGTGCGAGTCGCGCAGGTCGCCCACGCGGAACATCAGGCACAGGCGGTCGTCGCGCAGCGACACCACGGCGTGCGAGGAGAACACCAAGGTCTCGGCGCGCTTGTTGGGCTGCGAGATCTTGACGAACATGCAGCCCACCATGAAGGCGTTGACCATGGAGCCCAGGATGGCCTGCAGCAGCAGCAGCACGATGCCCTCGGGGCACGTGTCCGTGATGACGCGGTGGCCGTAGCCGATGGTGGTCTCGGTCTCGATGGAGAAGAGGAAGGCGGAGACGAAGCCGTTGAGGTTGTTGACGCACGGCGTCCAGCTGTGGTCGCCCAGGTGCTCCAGGTCGCCGCGGCTGTAGGCGATGACCCACCAGATGAGGCCGAAGAAGAGCCAGGTGAGGGCGTAGGCCAGGATGAAGATGAGGAGGCTGAAGCGCCACTTGAGGTCCACCAGGGTGGTGAAGATGTCGGTCAGGTAGCGGTAGGTCTCGCGCACGTTGCCGTGCTGCACGTTGCACTTGCCGTCCTTCTCCACGTAGCGTTGGCGCTTCCGGGCCACCGCGCCCACCCCGGCCCCCCACGGGCGGCGTTTGGGGGCTTGGGGGGGCGGGGGAGGGGGCTTGGCCTCGGCGGGGACCCCCGCGGGGACCCCCTCGGGGACCCCACAGAAGGCGGCGTTGTCCTGAGCCATCGGCGGCGGCTGTGGGGGCACAGCGGGGTGAGGACTGGGGAAACTGGGGGGACTGGGGTGGGGAGATGGGGAGATGGAGGTGCCAAACTGGGGGAGCAGAGCCCTCAAACTGGGGGGACTGGGATGGGGAAATGGGGAGATGAGCCCTCAAACTGGGGGGACTGGGATGGGGGAATGGGGACATGGAGCCCTCAAACTGGGGGGACTGGGATGGGGGAATGGGGACATGGAGCCCTCAAACTGGGGGGGTGGAAGCATCAAACTGGGGGTACTGGGAGAGAGGAATTGGGGGATGGAGGTGCTAAATTGGGGGGACTGGGATGGGGGAAATGGGGGGATGGAGGTGCCAAACTGGGGGCATGGAGCCATCAAACTGGGGGGACAGTGCCCTCAAACTGGGGGGACTGGGAGGGAATGGAGCCCCCAAACTGGGGGCACTGGGAGGGAATGGAACCCCCAAACTGGGAGGACTGGGAAGAAATTGAACCCCCAAACTGGGGGCACTGGGAGGGAATGGGGGCACCGTCCCCTCCCCACACACACCCACACACGAGTTCAGCCCCCTGCGGGCCTTGCACACGCGCCGAGCCCCCCTTGCACACTCACACTCACACTCGCGGGCACGCGCAGCCGGGTCACGCGCACCCCCCCACCCCCACTCCCCCTTTACACACGCGTGTGCCCCGGGGGGGTCCCTGCGGCACCACCCCCAAATTCCCCCGTCCCCCCTCCCCGTTCCCCATCCCGGTTTGGGGGGCACGGCCGAGTTTTGGGGGGCACGGCCGAGTTTGGGGGGGGGTTCGGCTGTATTTGGGGGGGCACAACCGCGTTTAGGGGGCACAGTTGGGTTTGGGGGGGGGGCACGGCTGAGTTTAGGGGGCACGGCCGGGTTTTGGGGGGGTCACGGTCGGGTTTTGGGGGGGCACGGTCGGGTTTAGGGGGCCCAGCCGGGTTTGGGGGGAGCACAACGGGGTTTGGGGGGGTCCGGCCGGGTTCGGGGGGCTCCCCCCTTTCCCCCCGCGCCCCCCGCCCGCTCTCACCGCTGCCGCAGCCCCGCTCGCTCCGCGCTCTCCGGGCCCCCCCCGCCCCCCCCCCGCCCTGTTCCCCGGCAACGGCGGCGCGCGGATAAAAATCCCGGGGCCCCCCGCCCCCCCCCCCCTCCGCACGGACAACTGGCCCGGGGGTGGCCAGCGCTAGCCCAACCCCCCCCCAACACCACCACCACCACCCCGGCATCGGTTTTACCCCCTTCCCCCCCCATCAGCGACCCCCCCATCATTATCGCCCCCCCTCATTAGCCCGGGGGTGCTTCTCATTAGCCCAACCCCCCCTCCCCCAGCCTCACTAGCCCGGGGGTGGCCAGTGCTCGCCCAGCCCCCCCCCGCGCTCAGTTACACCCCCCGAATTACCACAGCCCCCCCCCACCAGGCTCAAGCCCCCACCCCATCATTAGCCCAAGGCTCTCCTTCATTAGCCCACCACCCCTGCGCTAGTCCGGGGCTGCCGTTCGCTCGCCCAGCCCCCTCGGATTAGCCCCCTCCCCATAATTAGCCTGGGGGGGGCCGTCATTAGCCCAGCCCCTCCCCGGCTCAGCCCCTCCCTCCCCTCTTCGCTAGCCCGGGGGGGCTCCAGCACTAGCCCAGACCCCTCTATCACTAGCCAAGGGGTCCTCCTCAATTGCCCAGTGCCCCAGTCACTAGCCCAGCCCCCCCATCATTAGCCCAACCCCTCATCACTAGCCCAGGACTCCCCATCATTAGCCCACCCCCTTTACTAGCCCACCTCTCCCATCACTAGCCCAGGAATCCCCCTCCATTGCCCAGCCCCCTCCTCGCTAGCCCAGGGGTCCCCAGCACTAGCCCAGGGGTCCCCAGCACTAGCCCAGCCCCCTCCCCATTACCCAATCTCCCCACTAGCCCAGGAGTCCCCATTGCTGGCCCAGGGGTCCCCCTCCATTGCCCACCCCCCCCCCGGTAGCCCCGGCCCCGCGGTCACTCGCCCTCCCCTCCCCCTCCGGGCGGACAAAGGCTCTTTGTGCCTCCGGAGCGGCCGGACAGGCCCTGGCGTGGGGCTGCCACGGACACGCGGACCCACGGACACTCCTCGGACACACTGACCAGTCACCCACAGCCCCACGACCCCCTCAGTGGCACCCCCGGGGTTGGGGTGGGCGGGGGGGGTCTGTGCCCACGCGTGACCCCGCACGGGGATGCTCTGCTGGGGTCACATCCCCGGGACCCCCGTGCGCGGCTGCCGTGACCCCGGGGCCGGTGTCCGGTGACCTTGGCGGGACCCCGCCGGTAACGGTGTCACCCCAGGGTGCGCGGGACCCCGCCCGGTGCCACCGCCGGGACCCCCCAGCGCCGGTACCGGTGCCTGGACATCACCACCGGGACCCTCCGGTGACCCCGCCGCGACCCCCACGACAGGTGCCAATGCCTGGACATCACACCAGGACCCCCGGCGCTGGTCCCGGTGCCCGCGGGACCCTGCCCGAACCCCCCGGTGCCCCCTCGGTGTCCCCACTGCCGGTCCCGGTGTCCGTGGGACCCTGCCTAAACCCCCCCCGGTGCCCCCACCGGGACCCCCGGCTCCGGTGCCGGTTCCCCGGGAGACCCTGCCCGAACACCCCGGTGCCCCCACCGGGACCCCCATTGCCCGGGGGACCCCACAGAACCCCGGGTGCGGTGCCCGTGCCTGCACACCCCCTGCGTGCGCCCCGGTGCCCCCACTGGGACCCCCAGTGCCGGTGCCGGTTCCCTGGGAGACCCTTCCCAACCCCCCGGTGCCCGCCCGGTGTCCCCACTGCCGGTCCCGGTGCCCATATCCCCCCCATCCCTCCCGCTGCCCCCACCGGGACCCCCATTGCGGTGCCGGTGCCCGCGGGAAGGGTCCCCCGGGCCCCCCCCCCGCCCGTGCCCGGTAACGTGACCCGGCTCCTTTTCCACCCCATTAACCCCCGGCCCGCCCCCGGCGGCTCCTCCCCGCCCCGGTCCCCCCCCGCCCCGGTTCTGCGGCAGGGGGGGGTGCCCGTCCCGTCGCCGCGGCCCCGCCGAGCCATAAAACCCATGGGGAGCCGGCCGGGCTGAGCACGGTGGGACCCGCGACCCCCCCAGCAAGGTAAGGGCGGCCGGGGGGGGATACCGGGGGTCCCCCGTCCCCTCCCGGGGGGTCCCGAGGGCTGCGGGCACCGGCCGGTGGCGCTGGGATGGCACCGGCACTGCAGAGGGGAGCCCCGTGACCCCTTGTCCCCCCCCCAATGGTGGTATCGCGTCCCCGTTGTCCCCACAGCCCTGCGTCACCATCGCCCCACGAGGCCGCGACTCCCCATGTCCCAGGTGTGGGTTATTCTGAGTGTGATTCCAGGCGTGGGTTATCCCAGGCGTGGGTTATTCTGAGTGTGATCCTACATGTGGGTTATTCTGAGTGTGATCCCAGGCGTGGGTTATCCTAGGTGTGGGTTATTCTGAGTGTTATACTAGGTGTGCATTATCCCAGGTGTGGTTTATCCCGGGTGTGGTTTATCCTAGATGTGGTTTATCCCAGGTATGCATTATCCCAGTTGTGGTTTATCCCAGATGTGCATTACCCGGGTGTGGTTTATCCCGGGTATGCATTATCCCAGGTGTGGTTTATCCTGAGTGTGCGTTATCCCAGATGTTTGTTATCCCAGGTGTGGTTTATCCCGGGTGTGCGTTATCCCGGGTGTGCGTTATCTCGGGTGTGGTTTATCCCAGATGTGCGTTATCCCAGGTGTGCATTATCCTGGATGTGCATTATCCCAGGTGTGCATTATTCCAGGTGTGGTTTATCCCGGGTGTGCGTTATCCCGGGTGTGCGTTATCCCAGATGTGCGTTATCCTGGGTGTGGTTTATCCCGGGTGTGGTTTATCCCGGGTGTGTGTTACCCTGGGTGTGGTTTATCCCAGGTGTGGTTTATCCCAGGTGTGGTTTATCCCTGGTGTGGTTTATCCCAGGTGTGGTTTATCCCGGGTGTGGTTTATCCCGGGTGTGGTTTATCCCGGGTGTGCGTTATCCCGGGTGTGCATTATCCCGGGTGTGCGTTATCCCAGATGTGCATTATCCTGGGTGTGGTTTATCCCTGGTGTGGTTTATCCCGGATGTACGTTATCCTGGGTGTGCGTTATCCCAGGTGTGCGTTATCCCAGATGTGCGTTATCCTGGGTGTGCATTATCCCAGATGTGCATTATCCCAGGTGTGCGTTATCCCAAGTGTGGTTTATCCCAGCTGTGGTTTATCCCAGGTGTGGTTTATCCCGGGTGTGGTTTATCCAGGCATCCCTTATCCCGGATGTGACCTAAGGCTTTTAGGGTCTCTAATATCACTTTGGGGTCCCTGGGACCTCCAGGACCCCCGTGGTCACCATGAGGGGAGGAGGGACATCCCCAGGACCCCCAGGGGGGCCATGTGGGGACAGGGGTGCCCCAGGACACACAGTGGGGCCTGGGACCCTCAGGGTGGCACTGACAGTGACAGGGGACCCCTGGGACGGTGACAGTGACAGGGACCTCTGACCCACATTGGGGTGGGTGACGGGGGCCCCGTGTGGTGACAGTGGCATTAACCATGGGGGTCCCTGTGTCCCCTCAGTGGCAGTGGGGGGGTCCCTGTGTCCCCTTGGCAGCCCTGGCTGTGTCACAGGGCCCTGGTTGGTGACAGTGGCAGTAACCATGGGGGTCCCCTGTCCCTTTGGTGGCAGTGGGGGTCCCTATGTCCCCTCGGTGATGGTGGGGGTCCCTGTGTCCCCTCGATGGCAGTGACAGTAACCATGGGGGTCCCTGTGTCCCCTCGATGGCAGTGACAGTAACAATGGGGGGTCCCTGTGCCCCCCTCGGTGGCAGTGACAGTACCCATGAGGGTCCCCTGTCCCCTGGGCAGCCCTGGCAGTGTCACAGGGCCCTGGTTGGTGACAGTGGCAGTAATAATGAGGGTCCCTGTGTCCCCTTGATGACAGTGACAGTAACCATGAGGGTCCCCTGTCCCCTTGGTGACAGTAACCATGGGGGTCCCCTGTCACCTCGGTGGCAGCGGGGGTCCCCATGTCCCCTCGGCTGCAGGGTGGCAGTGACAGTAACCATGGGGGTCCCCTGTCCCCTCGGTGGCAGTGACAGTAAAAAATGGGGGGGGTCCTTGTGCCCTCGGTGGCAGTGACAGTGACATTAACCATGGGGGTCCCTGTCCCCTGTCCCCTCGGCTGCAGGGTGGCAGTGACTTTAACCATGGGGGTCCCTGTGTCCCCTCGGTGACAGTAACCATGGGGGTCCCTGTGTCCCCTCGGTGGCAGTGACAGTAACCATGGGGGTCCCCTGTGTCCCCTCGATGGCAGTGACAGTAACCATGGGGGTCCCCTGTCCCCTCGGTGGGAGTGACAGTAAGCATGGGGGTCCCCTGTGTCCCCTCGGTGGCAGTGACATTAACCATGGGGGTCCCCTGTCCCCTCGGTGACAGTAACCATGGGGGTCCCTGTCCCCGGGCCGGCCCCGGCGGTGTCGCGGGCCCCCCGGGACCCCCGCGCTGGCGGTGGCGGGCGCGCAGGGCTCTGCATCTTAACGAGGGCTCCGTGAAAGCGCCTTTGTCCCCCCGCCAGCCCCATTGAAACCTCGGCTCCGGCCGCACAATGGCCCCACTGTCCCTGTCCCCGTCCCTGTCCCCCCCCCGCCACCGCCACCCCACCGCCACCCCCCGCTCCACCCCCGCCGCGCCCACCCCGCGCCCCCCTCTTCAATTGGGGGACCCCTCCGCGGGGCTAGAGGGGCGCTCCCCCCCCTCCCCAAATCCCAGTTACCCCAGTACGGAGCAGCCCCGCGCCCCAGTTTGGGGGCGGTGGGGCTGGCGGGGCGCCCGGTCACGCCTGGCACCGCCGTGGCGTGGGAACGGTGCCCGCGCCGCCGGTGCCAGCGGGACGCGGGGAACGGGGACGTGTCCCTGGGGGCCCCCCCAGATCCTCCCGCACCCCCCACATGTAGGGCCGGGGCTCTGCGGTGACCCCCAAAGTGACCAGAACTCCCCGAGGGGAAACTGAGGCACGGGGAGGGGTGTCGGGGGTGGGTGGGGGGTTAATGGGTAACCGGTTGTGCCGCGGGCACCGGGAACAAGCTGCGGCTTGTCCCGAGCCGTGTCCGGCCACCGGAGCACGGCGGGGGGCACGGGGGGCACGCGGGGCCCCCAAAAAGGGGGCAGGGGGCTGGGGACAGCAAAAAAGGGGGTGTGGGGGGGGTCAGAAGCCTAAAGAAGGGGGGAGGGCCCAAAAGAGGGGGGTCGGGACCACCCCAGATGGGGACAGGGGTGTGCAGAGACCCCCAAAGCAGGGGGCGGGGACACGGTGGCTTTGGGGACATGGTGGCTTTGGGGACATGGTGGCTTTGGGGACATGGTGGCTTTGGGGACATGGAGGGGCCTTTAGGGGGGCACAGTGACTTCAGAGACGTGGGAGGCCCCCGGCACCCCAGGAACTTGAGGACACGGCGTGGCTTTGGGGACAGCCGGTGGCTTTGGGGACATGGGGGGCTCTGGGGACATGGGGGGCTCTGGGGACCCCTAGCAGCTCCAGGACAGGCGGTGGCTTTGGGGACACAGTGGCTCTGTGGGGACACGGTGGCTCCAGGGACCCCCAAGAGCCCATCGGGGAAGGAGCAGCTCCATGTCCCCTCTTTGGGGACACCGATCTCCCCTCTGCCACCGTCCCCTTCCAGGACATTTCTCTGTGCAGGGACATCACGCAGCCAGGACGGTGGCAGTGCCACTCGTGTCCCCAGGCTGGCACGGGGACACGGGGCTCCAAGGAGACCCCCCCCGTGGTGCCACCACCCCCCGGTGTCCCCATGTCCCCGTGTCCCCGGCACGCTGCCCTTCCGCGGCGGAAACGGTGGCGGGGCCAGAGGCTGGCGGGGGCTGAAAGGGCCTTTTTTGGGATGGGGACACGGGGACACGGGGACACCGGGGACACCGGGGAGGCGCCTGGCGCTGCCCCCGGCCGTTTGTCCCTGTCACCTCCCATTCATCCCCTTCCTCTTCCTCCCGGACGCCCGGGACACTTCCACGGCCACCGGAGCTGCCAGGGGACACAGGGGACACGGGAGGGACACGGGGGGGACACGGGGGGGACACGGGGGGACACGGGGGGATTTGGGATCAGGGTGGCACGTGGAGGGATGGAGGGACATGGGGATGGACAGAGCGGGTCCCTTGGAACATTGGGGGTTTCCCGGGGACACTGGGGGGTGTCCCTGGGGACATTGAGGGGACATTGTGGGGTCCCTGGGGACAAAGGGACATGGGGATGGACAGAAGGACAGACAGAAGGATGAAGAGAGATATACAGGGATGGACAGAGGGATGGACATGGAGATAGATGGAGGGACATGGGGATGGACAGAGGGATGGACAGGAGATGGACAGAGGGAAATGGGGATGCACAGCCACAGGGATGACCCACTCTGGTGCCCCCACTGGTGTCATCCTCCACCTGTCCCTCACCTGTCCACCTGTCCTTCACCTGTCCCTCACCTGTCCACCTGTCCCTCACATGTCCCCCACCTATCCACCTGTCCCTCACATGTCCCCATGTCCCTGCAGATGACCTCCTCCATGTGTCCCTCACCTGTCCCTCATGTGTCCCCATAGCTGATGTCCTCCACCTGTCCCTCCCTTGTCCCCACAGATGACCTCCTCAATGTGTCCTCCTCCTGTCCCCCACCTGTCCACCTGTCCCTCACATGTCCCCGTGTCCCCACAGATGATGTCCTCCATGTGTCCCCCACCTGTCCCTGTGTCCCCGCAGATGATGTTCTCCATGTGTCCCCCACCTGTCCGCCTGTCCCTCACGTGTCCCCGTGTCCCCGCAGATGACGTCCTCCACCAAGGTGTACTACAGCCAGACCACGCAGACCGACAGCCGCCCGCTGATGGGGCCGGGGCTGCGGCGGCGCCGCGTGCTGACCAAGGACGGCCGCAGCAACGTGCGCATGGAGCACATCTCCGACAAGCGCTTCCTGTACCTCAAGGACCTGTGGACCACCTTCATCGACCTCCAGTGGCGCTACAAGCTCCTGCTCTTCTCCGCCACCTTCGCCGGCACCTGGTTCGCCTTCGGCGTGGTCTGGTACCTGGTGGCCGCGGCGCACGGCGACCTGCTGGAGTTCGAGCCGCCCGCCAACCACACGCCGTGCGTGATGCAGGTGCACACGCTGACCGGCGCCTTCCTCTTCTCCCTGGAGTCGCAGACCACCATCGGCTACGGCTTCCGCTACATCAGCGAGGAGTGCCCGCTGGCCATCGTGCTGCTCATCACCCAGCTGGTGCTGACCACCATCCTGGAGATCTTCATCACCGGCACCTTCCTGGCCAAGATCGCGCGGCCCAAGAAGCGCGCCGAGACCATCAAGTTCAGCCAGAACGCCGTGGTGGCGCAGCACGACGGCAAGACCTGCCTGATGATCCGCGTGGCCAACATGAGGAAGAGCCTCCTGATCGGCTGCCAGGTCACCGGGAAGCTGCTGCAGACCCACCTCACCAAGGAGGGCGAGAGCGTCCGGCTCAACCAGCTCAACGTGGACTTCCAGGTGGACACGTCCTCGGACAGCCCCTTCCTCATCCTGCCGCTGACCTTCTACCACGTGGTGGACGAGGCCAGCCCGCTGCGGGACGTGTCCCTGCGCTCGGGGGACGGCGACTTCGAGCTGGTGGTCATCCTGAGCGGCACCGTGGAGTCCACCAGCGCCACGTGCCAGGTGCGCACGTCCTACCTGCCCGAGGAGATCCTGTGGGGCTACGAGTTCACGCCGGCCATCTCGCTGTCGGCCAGCGGCAAGTACGTGGCCGACTTCAGCCTCTTCGACCGCGTGGTCAAGGTGGCGGCGCCCTGCTGTCACCACGAGGCCGTCCGCTTCGGGGACCCCGAGAAGGTCAAGCTGGAGGAGTCGCTGCGGGAGGCGGAGCGGGATGGGGAGGGGGCCCCGCTCAGCGTCCGCATCAGCAACGTCTGAGGGGGACACGGAGGTGACGTCGGCACCGCGGTGGCGTCGTCATCAGGGTGACATCGGCATCAGGGTGACGTCGGCACCAGGGTGACGTCGGCACCGCGGTGGCGTCGTCATCGGGGTGATGTCATCACCGGGGTGACATTGTCATCAAGGTGATTTCGGCACCGTGGTGATGTCGTCATCACGGTGAGATCAGCACCAGGGTGACGTCGGCACCGGGGTGACGTCATCATCGGGGTGACGTCAGCACCGGGGTGACATCATCATCAGGGTGATGTCAGCACTGGGGTGACATTGTCATCAAGGTGACGTCGGCATCAGGGTGACATTGTCATCAAGGTGACGTCAGCACTGGGGTGACATTGTCATCATCAGGGTGACATCGGCATCAGGGTGACGTCGTCATCAGGGTGACATCAGCACCAGGGTGACGTCGGCACCGGGGTGACATCATCATCAGGGTGATGTCAGCACTGGGGTGACATTGTCATCAAGGTGACGTCGGCATCGAGGTGACATCGGCATTGGGGTGACATCATCATCAGGGTGACATCAGCACTGGGGTGATGTCAGCACTGGGATGACATTGTCATCAAGATGACATCAGCACCGGGGTGACATCATCATCAGGGTGACGTCAGCACCAGGGTGACATTGTCATCAAGGTGACGTCGGCATTGGGGTGACACAGACACCAGGGTGACATCAGCACCAGGGTGACGTTGGCACAGGGGTGACATCAGCCCCAGGGTGACACAAGGGCGAGAGGTGGCACCGGCCCCCAGTGGCACCGGAGCGAGGCGGTGGCGGCGGATGGTGGAGGTGTGGCCGTGTCTGGAGGTACTGGAGGGACACCAACAACTGGGGGTGTCACCAGCCCCAAAGGGACACCAACATCTGGAGGTGCCACCAGCGCTGGAGGTGTCATCAAGTCTGGAGGTGTCACCGATGCCTGGAGGTGTCACCAGTCTCAAAGTGTCACCAAATTTGGAAGTGTCACCAGCCCCAAGGGGACACAAATGTCTGGAGCTGCCACAAGTCCCAAAGTGTCACCAATGCCTGGAGGTGTCACCAAATCTGGAGGTGCCACCAGCCCCAAAGTGGTACCAGGGCCTGGAGACATCACCAACGCTTGAAGGTGACACCAACGCTTGGAGGTGCCACCAGCCCAGAGGTGCCACCAGTCTCCAAAAGTGTCACCAACGCCCAGAAGAGCCACCAGCCAAGATTCCACCGATGCCTGGAGGTGCCACCAACGCCTGGAATCGTCACTAAACCCTGGAAGTGCCACCATCTGCAGGTGTCACCAAGCCCTGGAGGTGCCACCAGCTTCAAAGTGCCACCAACTGCTGGAGATGTCACCAAGTCCTGAAGGTGCCACGAGCCCTGAGATGGCACCAGGCCCTGGAGGTGCCACCACCCCTGAAGTGTCACCAAGCCCTGGAGGTGCCACCAGCCCCCAGGGCGCCGCTGCTCCCCACCCTGCCAGGGGAAACTGAGGCAGGAGACCCTCCCAACCCCCCCCACGAGCGCTGGACCCCCTCCCCTGTCCCCCCCCCACTCCGGGCAGTGTCGGGGGGTCCCCCCGGGGTGTCACCGATAATCGCCCACCGTGTCCCACCGTGTCCCACCGTGTCCCACCGTGTCCCCTCCCCCCACCCGGGCCGGGGTCCCCTCCCCCACCCCGCCCGTCGCTGCTGCTTAACGTAGACCCCGCAATTAACGCGGCCCCCCCGCGCCGGGGCTAATTAGTGCCACTAATTAAAGGTGTCAGTAATGAGGAAGGAGCGGGACCCCCCCCCGGGACCCCCAAATCCGCCCCTCCCCCCCCGGGGGGGCCCGAGCTCGGTTGGGGGGGCGGTGGGGGAGGGGCAGAGTTCAATAAAGGTGACGTCGATGGTGGGGGGTGTCCCCAGTGTCCCCACAGCGTCCCCGATGTCCCCTCACCCCCATGGACCCCCCTGATGTCCCCCAAATGCCCCCCCAAAGTGTCCCCCAATGTCACCAGGGTCCCCCCCCCAGCGTCTCTCAGGGTCTCCTTCAGCCCCCAGGGCCCCCCCATGATGTCCCCATGATGTCCCCAATATCTTCTCAATGTCCCCAGGGACCCCACAATGTCCCCTCAGTGTCCCCAGTGTGCCAAGGGACCCACTCAACGTGCCCCCAGTGTCCCCAGGGACCTCCCAATGTCCCCAGTGTCTCCCCAATGTCCCTTTAATGTCCCCAGAGACCCTCACAGTGTCCTCCCAATGTCCCTGATGTCCTCCCAATGTCCCCCCAATGTCCCTGCTGTCCCCCCCAGTGTCCCCCCAGTGTCACCAGGCCAGCTAAAGGACACAGGTTTATTTCCAGTACCCCCCCCCCAACACTCCCAGTCCGGGGGGGTCACTGGGACCAGTGAGGGGACACGTGTCCCCAGGTGGTGGCACCTGCCCCACCCCCTCCCCGAGCCCCCCGGGGACACAGAGGGGACAGGGAGGGACAATGGGGGGGGGACAGGGGGGGACAAAGGGGAAACGAGGGGAGGGGACAAAAATGGGGACAAGGGGGGGACAATGAGGGGGACAAAGAGGGGACAAAGAGGGGACATGGGGACCCCCCCAAGCTCCAGAGGCAGCGGCGGCGAAGGCACCGGTGAGGCTTTAAAAAAAACGTGGTGAAAATCCTGCGAGAATTCCCAAAATCCCGCTGGAATTCCCCAAAATCCCGCTGGAATTCCCAAAAATCCCGCTGGAATTCCCCAAAATCCTGCAAGAATTCCCAAAATCCCATGGAATTCCAAAAATCCCGCTGGAATTCCCCAAATCCCACTGGGATTCCCCAAAATCCTGCAAGAATTCCCGAAATCCCATGGAATTCCAAAAATCCTGCTGGAATTCCCCAAAATCCTGCAAGAATTCCCAAAATCCCACTGGGATTGCCCAAATCCTGCAAGAATTCCCGAAATCCCATGGAATTCCAAAAAATCCCACTGGAATTCCCCAAATCCCGCAGGAATTCCCCAGATTCCCACGGAACTCCTAAAATCCCATGGAATTCCGAAAATCCCGCTGGAATTCCCCAAAATTCCACGGGAATTCCCCAAATCCCACAGGAATTCCCAAAACCCCGCAGGAATTCCCAAAATGCCACAGAATTCCCCAAACCCCACGGAACTCCTAAAATCCGGCGGGAATTCCCCAAATCCTGCTGGAATTCCGAAAATCTTGTGGAATTCCCCAAATCCGCTGGAATTCCGGGAATCGGGGCCGGAGGCGACTTCACACCAGGAAGGAGGAGGTTTGCTTGAACTCGCCCTGCGGGGACAGCGGGGACAGGGATGGGGCACGGGGACAAGGACAGCCATGGGGACATGGGGATAGCAATGGGGACATCTATGGGGACATGGGGACAGGGATGGGGATATGGGGACAGCCATGGGGACACGGGGACAAGGACAACCATGGGGACATGGGGACAGTGATGGGGACATGGGGACACGGGGACAAGGACAACCATGGGGACATCTATGGGGACACGGGGACAAGGACAACCATGGGGACATGGGGACAGGGATGGGGACACGGGGACAAAGACAGCCATGGGGACAGGGATGGGGACATGGGGACAGCCATGGGGACATCTATGGGGACATGGGGACACGGGGACAGGGATGGGGACACGGGGACAAGGACAGCCATGGGGACAGGATGGGGACATCTATGGGGACATGGGGACAGTGATGGGGACACGGGGACAAGGACAGCCATGGGGACATGGGGACAGGGATGGGGACACGGGGACAGCCGTGGGGACATCTATGGGGACAGTGATGGGGACATGGGGACACGGGGACATGGGGACAGTGGTAGGGACATGGGGAAGCAATGGGGACATCTATAGGGACATCTATGGGGACATGGGGACACGGGGACAGTGATGGGGACATGGGGACAAGGACAACCATGGGGACAGGGATGGGGACATGGGGACAGTGATGGGGACACGGGGACAAGGACAGCCATGGGGACAGCCATGGGGACATGGGGACAGGGATGGGGACGGGGACAGGGACATGGGGACATGGGGACAGTGATGGGGACACAGGGACAGCCTTGGGGACAGGGACAGCCATGGGGACATCCATGGGGACACAGGGACAGCCATGGGGACAGGGATGGGGACATGGGGACAGTGACAGGGACATAGATGGAGACATTGATGGGGACAGGGCTGGGTACAGGGACATCCATGGGGACATTAATGGGGACAGTGATGGGGACACACAGGGGGACACACAGCGGCACTAGAAGGGACATTAATGGGGACAGTGGGACATTAATGGGGACATCAATGGGGACACAAAGAGCCTCCACCACCATCCCCAGGGACACTGGGGACATTAACAGGGGCACGGTGACATCACTGGGGACATCATTGGGACACGGTGACATCACTGGGGACACAGGACCATCAATGGGGACACAGTGACATCAACGGAGACACAGTGACATCCATGGGGACATCACCGGGGACATCGCAGGTGACACCATCCCCCCCCACCACCCCCCAGGACCCTCCTGCCAAGGGACACTGAGGACACCGGGGTGTCCCCCTGCCACTGGGGTGTCCCCGCCAGGGCAGTGGCAGGTCCTGGTGTCCCCAAGGTGTCCCCAAGGTGTCCCCGAGCTGTCCTCACCTCGCTGCGCCGCGAGGGCTGGCTGTAGATCACCTTCTTGCCGCCGGCACTGTGGGGACATGGGGCACGTTTGGGACAGTGCCACCCCCCTGTCCCCTCTGTCCCCACCCGGGGACACCCGAGGGACACAGCGGGGTGGCACCAGGGTGGCACGGGGGTGGCACCGGGGGTGGGGTCACCAGGAGGAGGAGGAGGAGGTGGCTCCGGTGTCACTCACTCTGTTTTTTCTGGAAAAAAGGGAAAGGAGGGGGTCAGGGGGGAGGGGACACGTGGGGACACCACGGGGACACACCCAGGGACACGGGTGTGCCATTCCCAGTCCCTCCCAGTCCCTCCCAGTCCCTCCCAGTCCCTCCCAGTCCATTCCCATTCCCCCCCAGTCCATCCCAGTCCCCCCAGTCCATTCCCAGTCCATTCCCCGTTCCATCCCAGTCCATTCCCAGTCCCTCCCAGTCCCTCCCAGTCCATTCCCAGTCCCATCCCAGTCCATCCCAGTTCCATCCCATTCCCTCCCAGTCCATTCCCAGTTCCATCCCAGTCCCATCCCAGTCCCTCCCAGTGTCTCCCAGTCCATTCCCAGTGCCTCCCATTCCCTCCCAGTCCCATCCCAGTCCATTCCCAGTCCCCCCCAGTCCCTCCCAGTCCCCCCCAGTCCCCCCCAGTCCATTCCCAGTCCTTCTCAGTTCCATCCCATTCCCTCCCAGTCCCCCCCAGTCCATTCCCAGTCCCCCCCAGTCCATTCCCATTCCCTCCCAGTCTCTCCCAGTCCCCCCCAGTCCCTCCCAGTCCCCCCCAGTTCCCCCAGTGGCTCACTGCCGCAGTAGCCGCGCCGGTGGGCGAACCAGAGGCCGAAGGCGGCGAGCGCCAGCACCAGGAGCAGCAGCACCACGGCGGCCACGACACCGCCCACGTTCACCTCGCCTGCGGCGGAGAGCGGGACCGGGGATCAGGGGGATCGGGGGGATCGGGGGGATCAGGGGGATCAGGGGGATCGGGGGGATCCCGTGGGATCGGGGATCAGGGGGGATCCCGTGGGATTGGGGGATCCCATGGGACTGGGGGAAGCGGGGAGATCCCATGGGATCAGGAAGATCCTGTGGGTTTGGGGAGATCTGGGGGATCCCATGGGTTTGGGGGGATCCTGTGGGTTTGGGGGGATCTGGGGGATCCCGTGGGATTGAGGGGATCCCACTGGATTGGGGGGGATCAGGGGATCCCGTGGGTTTCGGGGGATCCCAAGGGATTAGGGGAATCAGGGGGATCCTGTGGGATCGGGCGATCCTGTGGGATTGGGGGGGATCCCATGCGTTTGGGGGGATCCTGTGTGTTTGGGGGGATCCCACGGAATTGGGGGGGATCGGGGGATCCCGCAGGATCAGGGGGGATCCCATGGGATATGGGGAATCATGTGGGTTTGGGGGGATCGGGGGAGCCCGTGGGATTGGGGGAATCAGGGGGATCCAATGGGATTGGGGGGATCCAATGGGTTTGGGGGATCTCACGAGATCAGGTGGGATCAGGAGGGATCCCATGGGATTGAGGGATCCTGCGGGATTTGGGTAAGGATGGGGATGGGGACTGGGATCAGGATCCTGCGGGATTGGGATGGGGAATCGGGATTTGGATCGGGATGGGGATTGGGATTTGGATCAGGATCTGGATTGGGATGGGGATCAGGATCGGGATCAGGATCAGGACTGGGATCGGGGTCGCTCCTTACTGGCTTCCATGCGGAACACGTCGGATTTCTGGGGGCTGCCCACGTTGTTGGAGGCCTCACAGTGATAATCGCCCGTGTCCCACCCCCCCACGGGATCAAAGACCTGGAATGGGCAGGGATCGGGGAAAATGGGGAAAAACGGGGAAAAATGGGGGAAAATGGGGAAAAATGGGGGGAAATTGGGTAAAAATGGAGGGGAAATGGGGGGAATGGAGGAAAATGGGGGGAAATTTGGGAAAAATGGGGGGAAAAAGGGAGGGAAATTGGGATAAAACGCAGGAGAATATATACGGAAAATGGGGAAAATGTAGGGAAAATGGGGAGGAATGGAGGGGAAATGGCGATAAAATGGGGGATAACGGGTTGGTAAAATGGGGAGAGAAATGGGGGGAACGGGAGAAAATGGGGAGGGGGAAGGAGAGAAATGGGGGCAGGAAAAGGGGAGGAAAAGAGGGGAAAAGGGGAGGAAAAGAGGGAAAAGGGGAGGAAAACGGGAAAAAGGGCAGGAAAATGGGGAAAAGGGGAGGAAAACAGGGAGAAGGGGAGGAAAATGTGGAGAGGCAGGGGCAGGAGGTGGCACTGCCCATTCCCCCACACTGCCCATCTACCCCTGGCACTGCCCCACTGACCAGCTGCCCCTGGCACCTCCCAGCCCTGGCACTGCCCACCCTGTCCCGGCCCCGGGCACTGCCCATCTCCCCCTGGCACTGCCCCACTGCCCATCTCCCCCTGGCACTGCCCATCTCCCCATGGCACTGCCCACCTGGGCACTGCCCACCCTGTGCTGGCCCCGGGCACTGCCCATCTCCCCCAGGCACTGCCCATCTCCCCCTGGCACTGCCCCACTGCCCATCTCCCCCTGTCCCTGCCCACCCTGCCCACCCTGTCCCTGCCCAGCCCCCCTGGCACTGACCAGCTCCCCGGAGCGGGGGTCCAGGCTGTAGGAGGAGTTGCGGAAGGCGGGGCTGGCCCGGGGGTCCGCGGGCAGCTCGGTGCCATCCTTGTACCAGCGGAAGGTGGGCGGGGGCGAGCCCTGCGCCTCCGAGCAGCGCAGCACCGCCCGCGCCCCCACCGTGGCCGAGCTGGGCACGTGTGCCAGCGGCTTCCCCGGGGGCACTGCGGGACAGCGGGACACGGGGACGTGGCACAGGGGTGGCACCGGGACAGGGACAGCGGGACACGGGGATGTGGGATGGGGTGGCACCGGGACAGGGACAGGGGTGGGACAGGGACAGGGGTGGCACCGGGACAGGGACAGGGGTGGTACCGGGACAGGGACACAGGACAGGGATGGCACCGTGACATGGGACAGGGATGGCACTGACCGGAGTCACTGCCAGGGCCAGGGATGGCACCAGGACACAGAACAGGGACAGGGGTGGCACTGGGACAAGAGTGGCACCAGGACATGGGACAGGGACAGGGATGGGGACAGGGGTGGCACCAGGACATGGGACAGGGACAGGAGTGGAACTGCCCTGAGTCACTGCCAGGGACAAGGATGGCACCATGACATAGGACAGGGACAGGGGTGGCACCGGGACACGGGACAGGGATGGCACCAGGACACAGGACAGGGACAGGGGTGGCACTGACCAGAGTCACTGCCAGGGACAGGGGTGGCACCGGGACACAGAACAGGGACAGGGATCGGGACAGGGATGGCACCAGGACACAGAACAGGGACAGGGGTGGCACCGTGACATGGGACAGGGACGGGGGTGGCACCACCAAGAGACACCCCAGGGACAATGACAGTGCCCAGCCCAGCCCAGAGCCACCCCAGGGATGGGGACAAGGCCAGGGCTGGGGACAGGGGAGGATGCCAGGGCTGGGGACAGGGGACAAGGCCAGGGTTGGGGACAGGGGACAATGCCAGGGCTGGGGACAGGGGACACGGCTGGGGCTGGGGACAGGGGACAAGGCCAGGGCTGGGGACAGGTGGCCTCACCTTGCACGATGAGGTTGACCTCGGACTTGGCGATGTGGCTGCCATCGGCCACCACCTCGCAGATGTATTTGCCGCTGTCCTCCCGCGTCACCGACTGGAACCGGATGGACGTGGGCGAGAACTGGACACGGTCCCGGTACGGCTCTGGGGGACACCGTGGGGACATGGCAGGGACACCACAGGGACACCCAGGGGACACCGCGGGGACACCCCACAGGGACACCTCAGTACAGCTCTGGGGGACATCGGGCTGTGACACCCAGGGGACACCACAGGGACACCCTGGAATGGCTCTGGGGGACACCGAGTGGGACATGGCAGGGACACCCAGGGGACACCATGGGGACACTGAGGGGACACCCTATGGCCCCACAGGGACACCCTGGTACGGCTCTGGGGGACACCACAGGGACACCCCCGATGGCCCCACGAGCTTTGGGACCCCCCCCAAAACGTCCCCACGGGCTCACGACCTCCCCAGTGTCCCCAAATGTCCCCCGATGTCCCCCGATGTCCCCCGGTCCCTCACCTGTGAGCTCCCCCCCGTAGTAGATCAGCACCAGGCTCGAGCCCCTCTGGAACTTCCACTCGATCCGGGCGCTGCCGGAGCCGGAGCGGAACGCGGCGCAGCGCAGAGACACGGCTGCGGGCAGAGCGGCACCGGGACCGGTCAGAACCGGCACCGGGAGTGGTCAGAACCGGCACCGGGAACGGTCAGAACCGGCACCGGGAGCGAGTCAGAACCGGCACCGGGTCAGAACCGGCACCGGGAGCGAGTCAGAACCGGGATCAGTTCTGGCACCACCCAAAACCGGGACCACCCAAACCGAGCCCCCCAAACCTCCCCGGGTGGAGCCCCCAGCCCGCCGGGGCCGGTGACACCCGGGGACACCGCGGGGACACCGGGGGGACACTGTGGGGACACCGGGGACACTCACGTTTGTGCTCCGGCACTTCCTGGTCCTCCGAGGTCACCTGGGCTGTGGCCAGCGCGGCTGGAGGGACAGCGGGGCCGGGAGGTCACCGGGAGCCCCGGGACAGCACCGGGAGGTCACCGGGAACCCCGGGAGGTCACCGGGAGACCCGGGCAGGGGCAGCGGGAGCCCCGGGACAGCACCGGGAGGTCACCAGGAGCCCCGGGAGGTCACCGGGAGCCCCGGGCAGGGACAGCGGGAGCGGCCACCGGGAGCCGGAAAATCCCGTCCGGCCGCCTCCCGCCCTGCCCGGCTCTGTCCCAGTTATTCTCCAGTTTCTACCCAGTTTCTTCCCAGTTCCTTCCCAGTTTCTGCCCAGTCCTTTCCCAGTTATTCCCCAGTTCTTTCCCAGTTATTCCCCAGTTCTTTCCCAGTTCCTGCCCAGTTTCTTCCCGTGTCCTGCCCAGTTCTTTCCCACTTTCTCCCAAGTTTCTGCCCAGCTCTTTCCCAGTTATTCCCCAGCTTTTTCCCAGTTTCTGCCCAGTTATTCCCCAATTCTTTCCCAGTTTCTGCTCAGCTTTTTCCCAGTTCCTGCCCAGTTTTTTTCTCACTCTCTGCTCAGTCCTTTCCCAATTTCTGCCCACTTCTTTCCCAGTTTCTTCCCAGTTATTCCCCAGCTCTTTCCCAGTTTCTACCCAGTTTCTGCCCAGCTCTCTCCCAGTTATTCCCCAGTTCTTTCCCAGTTTCTGTCCAGTTCCTGCCCAGTTTCTGCCCAGTTCCCTCCCAGTTCCTGCCCAGTTATTCCCCAGTTCCCTCCCAGTTTCTACTCAGTTCTTTCCCAGTTTCTGCCCAGTTCCTGCCCAGTTATTCCCCAATTCTTTCCCAGTTCCTGCCCAGTTATTCCCCAGTTTCTGCCCAGCTCTCTCCCAGTTTCTACCCAGCTCTCTCCCAATTCTTTCCCAGTTTCTGCCCAGTTCTCTCCCAGTTTCTGCCCAGTTCTGTCCCAGTTTCACAGGAAACCGGCCGAGAATGTCGCAACTCCCCAACTCCCCGAGCTCTGCGCCTGCGGGACACGCCCGTGTCCCCTCCGTGTCCCCCCGGTGTCCCCTCCGTGTCCCCTCCGTGTCCCCCCCGTGTCCCCTCCCGGCGCGGGGACATTCCCGGTGCCGCGTTTGGCGCCGGTGACTCATTCCGAGCGGGAATGTCACCGGGATTGTCACCGGGAATGTCCCCGGGCCGCCACCCTCCCGCGCCACCTTTGCACCCCGGGGCCGCTGCCAAGCGAAACCGGCCGGGAAAATCGGGATTTTGGGGGGCAAAATCGGGATTTTGGGGGGGAAAATCGGGATTTTGGGGGGGAAAATCGGGATTTGGGGGGTAAATAACCCGTTTTGGGTCCAAATAAACCAGGACCGGGTTAATCCCGATTTATTTTGGGTCCAAATAAATCGAAGCTGGGTTAATACCGACCCATTTTGGGTCCAAATCAACGGGTTTTGGGTTAATTTCAACCCATTTTGGGTCCAAATAAATCGGGTTTGGGTTAATCCCGATTTGTTTTGGGTACAAACAAAGCGGCTTTGGGTTAATCCCGATTTGTTTGGGGTCCAAATAAATCGGGTTTGGGTTAATCCCGACCCGTTTTGGGTCCAAATAAATCGGGTTTGGGTAAATCCCGACCCGTTTTGGGTCCAAATGAAGCGGGTTTGGTTAATCCCGCCTCAGCCGGGCCCAGCCCAGGCGGGATCGGGTTAATCCCGGGCCAGTGGAACACAATGGACGGGACAGGAAGGTGCCCCCGCCCCCACCGCCGCTCCCGGGGCCGCTCCCGGTTCCCGGAGCCCCCTCCTCAATTCCGGTTCCGCTCTCCCCTCCCCAATTCCCCCCAAATCCCTGAGCCCCCTCCTCAATTCTCTCCCCTCCCCCCGTTCCCGGTTCCCCAATTCCGGTTCTCCGACCCCCTCCCCAATTCCCCCCCACAAATCTCGGAGCCCCCTCCTCAATTGCCCCCCAGTTCCCGGCGCCCCCTCCCCAATTCCCGCCCCCCCCCCCGGTTCCCGGTGCCCCCTCCCCAATTCCCGCCCCTCCCCCCTCCCCAATTCCCCCCAAATCCCGGAGCCCCCTCCTCACTTCCCGCCTCTCCTCCCGGTTCCCGGAGCCCCCTCCTCAATTCCGGTTCCCCTCCCCAATTACCCCCAAAATCCCGGACCCCCTCCTCAATTCCCCCCCGGTTCCCGGTTCCCCTCCCCCATCCCCAATTCCCCCCAATTCCGGTTCCGCCGCCCCCTCCCCAATTCCCGCCGCGCTCACCGAGCCCCCCGAGCAGCAGCAGCAGGAGGAGGAGGAGGAGCGGGGGCCGTGCCCGGGGCTGTCCCGGTCCCGGTTCCCGTTCCCGTTCCCGTTCCCGTTCCCGGTCCCGGTCCCGGTCCCGCTCCGCTCCCGCCATGGCGCCGCCGCCCCGCGCCAGGTGCGCGCGCCCGGCCCCGCCCACCGGCCCCGCCCACCGGCCCCGCCCCGCCAAGCCCCGCCCACCGGTCCCGCCAGGTACGGCCGGGCCACGCCCCCTCCGCGCCGCTATTGGCTGCCGCGCCTGGCGGGTTGGAAGCGGCGCTCGCTGATTGGTCGCGCAGGTGCGCCCCCCCTCACTTTGCGCGGTTTGATTGGTTAAAAAGGAGGGCGCGGCGAAAGGCGGCCAATGGGAGAGCGCGCCGCAACTTCTGGCCAATGGGAGCGCGCGGGGGGCGGGGCTTGGCGTTGCCGTGGCGACCGCGCGGCTTCGGCCGGAAGGGGCGCTGTGGGCCGCGGGGCTCCCAGTACAAACCAGTTGGGACCAGTGACCTCCCAGTGACCCCCAGTAACCCCCCAGTGACCTCCCAGTACAAACCAGTAACCCCCCAGTGACCTCCCAGTACAAACCAGTGACCTCCAGTGACCCCCAGTGACCTCCCAGTACAAACCAGTGACCCCCAGTGACCTCCCAGTGACCTCCAGTGACCTCCCAGTGACCCCCAGTAACCACCCAGGGCTCCCAGTACAAACCAGTTCAGACCAGTGACCTCCCAGTGACCTCCCAGTACAAACCAGTGACTTCCAGTGACCTCCCAGTGATCTCCCAGTACAAACCAATGACTTCCAGTGACCTCCAGTGAACTCCCAATGACCTCCCAGTACAAACCAGTGACCTCCCAGTGACCCCCAGTAACCACCCAGGACTCCCAGTACAAACCAGTTTGGACCAGTTACCTCCCAGTGACCTCCCAGTACAAACCAGTGACCTCCAGTGACCCCCAGTGACCCCCAGTGACCTCCCAGTACAAACCAGTGACCTCCCAGTGACCTCCCAGTGACCCCCAATGACCACCCAGGGCTCCCAGTACAAACCAGTGACCTCCAGTGACCCCCAGTGACCTCCCAGTGACCTCCCAGTACAAACCAGTGACCTCCAGTGACCTCCAGTGACCTCCCAGTGACCTCCCAGTACAAACCAGTGACCCCCAGTGACCCCCAGTGACCTCCCAGTACAAACCAGTGACCTCCAGTTACCTCCCAGTGACCCCCAGTAACCACCCAGTGACCTCCCAGTACAAACCAGTGACCTCCCAGTGACCCGCAGTAACCACCCAGGGCTCCCAGTACAAACCAGTTCGGACCAGTAACCCCCCCGTGACCTCCCAGTACAAACCAGTGACCTCCAGTGACCCCCAGTGACCTCCCAGTACAAACCAGTGACCTCCAGTGACCTCCCAGTGACCCCCAGTGACCTCCCAGTGACCCCCAGTAACCACCCAGGGCTCCCAGTTGGGACCAGTGACCCTCCCAGTACAAACCAGTACAGCCCAGTCCCCTCCCAGTGGGGTCCCTTTGGGGTTTTTGGGGTCACTTTGGGATTTTCAAGGGAATTTTGGGGTCCCTGAGGGAATTCAGGAGGATTTTGGGGCCCTTTTCAGGGTTTTAGGGTAATTTGGGGCCCTTTTGGGGGTTTCAAGGGAATTTTGGGGTCACTTTGGGATTTTCAAGGGAATTTTGGGGTCCCTGAGGGAATTCAGGAGGATTTTGGGGCCCTTTTCAGGGTTTTAGGGGAATTTTGGGTCCCTTTGGGATTTTAGGGGAATTTTGGGGTCCCTTTGGGGGTTTTGGGGTCCCTTTGGGCTCCGGGAAGAACCTGGAGGACCTAAAAAAATCCAAATCGCTGTTTTTTATTTCTTTTTTTTTTTTTTTCTTTTTTTTTTCCCTGGAATTTTTTTTACCTTTTTAGGGTTTTTTTTGTTTTGTTTTCTTTGTTTTTTCCGTAATTCCCAGTTTAAAAAAAAAAAAAATCCCAAAACCCCGCGGGGGGGGAGGGGCAAAAAGGGGGGGGAGGGGCAAAAAAGTGGGGAGGGGGCGTGAGGGTCCCAAACACCCCAAACCCCCCCAAAAATCCCTTTTCCCCCCCCCAAACCCCAAAACCCCTCTGGGGGGGCCGCGGGGGGGGGAGGGGCGACCCCAAATCCCAAATTTTTTGGGGGAAGGGCCCCAAATTTTTTTGGGGGGGGGTCCCAAAATTGTGGGGGGAGGGGAGGGGGCAGCGCCCACCGGGCCGAGAGCGTGGGGGGGGAATTTTGGGGGTGCGGGGGCGAATTTTGGGGGGATTTGGGGGAATTTTGGGGGGCTGGGGGAGGAGTTACATGATTTGGGGGGGAGGGGCTGCCGGGGGGGCTTTGGGGTTTTTTTGGGGGGTCCCGGGGGGGTTTTGGGGTGCAGAGTTTGGGATCCCGGGGGGGTTTTGGGGTGCGAATTTTGGGGTGCAGATTTTGGGGTCCCGGGGGGAGTTTTGGGGTGCAGATTTTGGGGTCCCGGGGGGGGTTTTTGGGGTGCAGGGGGTGGGTTTGGGGGTTTTGGGGCTGCGTTTTGGGGTGCGTTTGGGGTTTTTGGGGTGCGGGGGTGGGTTTTGGGGTGCGTTTGGGGTTTTTGGGGTGCGGGGGGTGGGTTTTGGGGTGCGTTTGGGGTTTTTGGGGTCAGTGGCTGTCGTTCTTGATGACGATCTCCAGCCCGTGCTGGCGCAGCTGCGCCCGCAGCAGCAGGTTCTTGTTCTTCAGCTCCTCCACCTGGATTTTGGGGGGTCAGGCACCCCAAAATATCCCCCAATGACCCCAAAATAGCCCCTCTGCACCCCAAAATAGCCCCCTGCACCCCAAAATATCCCCCCAGTCCCTCCCAGTGCCCCCAGTCCCACCTGCTGGGCAGCACCTCAATGTCCATCTGCAGCTGGTCCGGGCCCGATCCCATTGACCCCAATCCCATTGATCCCATTGATCCCATTGACCCCAATCCCATCCCATTAATCCCATTGACCCCAATGCCATCCCATTGACCCCAATCTCATTGATCCCATTGATCCCATTGACCCCAATCCCATTGATCCCATTGACCCCATTGATTCCAATCCCATCCCATTGATCCTATTGATCCCAATGACCCCAATCCCATCCCATGGATCCCATTGATCCCGTTGACCTCAATCCCATCCCAATGACCCCAATCCCATTGATCCCATTGACCCCAATCCCATTGATCCCATTGATTCCAATCCCATCCCATTGATCCTATTGATCCCAATGACCCCAATCCCATCCCATTGATCCCATTGACCCCAATCCCATTGATCCCATTGACCCCAATCCCATTGATCCCATTGATCCCAATCCCACCCCAATGACCCCAATGACCCCAATCCCATTCCCATGACCCCAATTCCAATGACCCCAATCCCATCCCAATCCCATCCCACTAACCCCAATCCCACCCCAATGACCCCAATGACCCCAATCCCGTTCCCAGCCCCACCTGCTGCCACAGGACCTCGTTGTCCATCTGCAGCTGGTCCAGGCCCCGATCCCATTGATCCCATTGATCCCAGTCCCATCCCAATGACCCCAATGACCCCAATCCCACCCCAATGACCCCAATGACCCCAATCCCATCCCATTGATCGCAATCCCACCCCAATGACCCCAATCCCAATGACCCCAATCCCACCCCAATGACCCCAATGACCCCAATCCCATCCCATTGATCGCAATCCCACCCCAATGACCCCAATCCCAATGACCCCAATCCCACCCCAATGACCCCAATGACCCCAATCCCATCCCATTGATCGCAATCCCACCCCAATGACCCCAATGACCCCAATCCCACCCCAATGACCCCAATCCCATTCCCAATAACCCCGATCCCAATGACCCCAATCCCGTTCCCAGCCCCACCTGCTGCCGCAGGACCTCGTTGTCCATCTGCAGCTGGTCCAGGCCCTGCAGCTCCTCGCTCAGCCGCAGGTTGCTCTGCCGCAGCTCCTGGATGTAGTCGCAGGCCTTGGACAGGATCCCGCCCTTGCTCTGCGGGGCAGCCGCGGTCACCGCCAGACCCCAAACCCCAAATGCAAACCCAAACCCCAAATATAAACCCCAAACCCAAACCCAAACCCCAATCCCAAACCCCAAACCCAAACCCCAAACCCAAACCCAAACCCCAAACCCAAAATGCAAACCCAAACCCCAAAACCCACAGCCAAACCCCAAATACAAACCCCAAATCCCACACCCCAAATCCCAAATCCAAACCCAAACCACAAACCCAACAACCAAACCCCTAAATCCCACATCCCAAACCCCAAATCCCAAACCCTAAATCCAAACCCCAAACCCCACAGCCAAACCCCAAACCCAAACCCCAAACCCCACACCCCAAACCCTAAATCCAAACCCAAACCCCAACCCCAAATCCCAACCCCAAACCCCAAATCCAAACCCCAAACCCCAAACCCAAACCCCAAATGCAAAGCTAAACCCCAAACCCCACAGCCAAAGCCCAAACCCCAAACCCAAACCCCAAACTCCAAATCCCACACCCCAAACCCCAAACCCCATGACCCAAACCCCACACCACAAATCCTAAATCCAAACCCAAACCCCAAATCCCAAATCCAAACCCCACACCCCAAACCCCACACCCCACACCCCGCTCCCAGACCTGTCCGGACTTGGTGTTCTCCATGGAGCAGTCCGGGATGATCTTGGACAGCTGCACGATCCAGTTGTTGATCTTGTCCCGGCGCCGGCGCTCCACTGCTCGGGAACGGGATCGGGATCGGGAACGGGAACGGGATCGAGAACAGGAACGGGATCAGGATCGGGAATGGGAACAGGAACAGGATTTGGAATGGGAACGGGATTGGAATTGGGAATGGGATTGATAATGGGGTTGGGAGTAGGATTGGGATCAGGAACGGGGAATGGGAATGGGATTGGGAAGGGGATTGGGAACGGGAATCGGATTGGAACGGGATTGGGAACAGGGAATGGGATTGGAACAGGGAATAGGATTTGGAACAGGATTGGGAATGGGGATTGGGAATGGGAATGAGGATTGCCAACGGAATTGGGAACGGGGAACGGGATTGGGAATGGGAATGGGAACAGGGAATGGGAACGGAGAATGGGAATGGCGATTCCCAGTGGGAATGAGGGATTGGGAACAGGGAATTGGGGTGACCCATGGGAATTGGGGTGGCCCCCGGGATGAGCCTGGGGATCGGGGTGACCCCCTGGGATCGGGGTGACCCCCTGGGATCGGGGTGACCCTTTGGGATTGGGGTGACCCTTTGGGATTGGGGATCCCCCCCCGGTACCTTCGTTGTGCTGTGCCCGGCGCTTCTCGTCCCGCGTGGCTCGGGGAGCCTCCGACTTCCTGGGGAGGGGCACAGGTGGGCACAGGTGTGCCCCAGGTGTGTCTGGGTGTGCCCCAGGTGTGCCCAGGTGTGCCCCAGGTGTGTCTGGGTGTGTCACAGGTGTGTTTGGGTGTGTCACAGGTGTGTCCCAGGTGTGCCCAGGTGTCTTTGGGTGTGTCCCAGGTGTACCCCAGGTGTACCTGGATCTCTCCAGGTGTGTCCAGGTGTGCCCAGGTGTGTCTGGGTGTGTCCCAGGTGTGCCCAGGTGTGTTTGGGTGTGCCCCAGGTGTGCCCCAGGTGTACCCAGGTCTCTCCAGGTGTGCCCCAGCTGTGTTTGGGTGTGCCCCAGGTGTGCCCAGGTGTACCCAGGTGTGCCCCAGGTGTGTCTGGGTGTCTCCCAGCTGTGCCCCAGGTGTGCCCAGGTACTCACGGGGAGTAGGGGTGTGCGCGGGGGGCGATGGAGCGCTGGGCCCCCCCCCGGGAGCACCTCCTGCGGTGACATCATCACGAAAAACTGCCCTGGAGCCAAAAAAACCCCACAGGTGAGACCCAAAACCCCACAGGTGAGACCCAACCCAATCTCGATGACCGCAAACCCATCCAGGTGAGTTCTAAACCCATCCAGGTGAGTTCTAAACCCATCCAGGTGAGTTCTAAACCCATCCAGGTGCCCCCAAATCCACCCAGATGCCCACAGACCCATCCAGGTGAGCCGATCCCAACCCAGATGATCCCAAACCCACCCAGGTGCCCCCAAATCCACCCAGGTGCCCCCGGACCCATCCAGGTGAGTCCCAAACCCATCCAGGTGAGCTCTAAACCCATCCAGGTGCCCCCAAACCAATCCAGGTGCCCCCAAACCCATCCAGGTGCCCCCAAACCCATCCAGGTGAGTTCTAAGCCCATCCAGATGAGTTCTAAGCCCACTCAGGTGTCCCCAGACCCATCCAGGTGCCCCCAGACCCATCCGGGTGAGTCCCAAACCCATCCAGGTGCCCCCAGACCCACCCAGGTGCCCCCAGTCCCCCCCAGGTGCCCCCAGGTGCCCGCAGCCCCTCACCTGTGGGCGTGGGCTGGCCGAGCAGCGCCTCGGAGCTCTGGGTGGTGACGACGGCGGTGGCGGCGGTGGCGGCGGTGGCGGCGGCGCCGTCGGCCACGCCCGCGGCGGGGAAGTAGGTGTAGTGCGCCTCGGTGGGCGCCGCCTCCGTCTCCACCGCCTCCTCGCTCGTGAACGCGCCCTGGATCACCGCCTGCCCCGGGGGAGACAGGTGGGACAGGTGAGCAACAGGTGAGGGACACGGGACAGGTGGGACAGGTGGGACAGGTGAGGGACACGGGGACAGGTGAGCGACAGGTGAGACAGGTGAGACAGGTGAGACAGGTGAGGGACAGGTGAGGGACAGGTGAGGGACAGGTGAGCCACAGGTGAGGGACAGGTGAGGGACATGGGACAGGTGAGCGACAGGTGAGACAGGTGAGGGACAGGTGAGCGACAGGTGAGGGACAGGTGAGGGACACAGGGACAGGTGGGACAGGTGAAAGACACGGGGACAGGTGAGGGATAGGTGAGGGACAGGCGGACAGGTGAGACAGGTGAGGGACATAGGACAGGTGAGACAGGTGAGGGACACAGGACAGGTGAGACAGGTGAGGGACAGGTGAGCGACAGGTGAGGGACATGGGACAGGTGGGACAGGTGAGGGACACAGGACAGGTGAGGGACATGGGACAGGTGAGGGACATTGGAGACAGGTGAGGGACAGGTGAGTGACACGGGACAGGTGAGGGACAGGTGAGGGACACGGGGACAGGTGAGGGACCAGTGGGACAGCTGGGACAGGTGAAGGACATGGAACAGGTAAGGGACAGGGGGACAGGTGTGACAGCTGGGACAGGTGACAGACACAGGGACACGTGGGAGAGGTGAGGGACAGGTAAGGGACACGGGACAGGTGAGGGACAGGTAAGGGACACGGGACAGGTGAGGGACATGCGGACAGGGAGATAGGCATGGAACAGGTGTGGGACAGGTGGGACAGCTGGGACACAGGTGTGAGATAGGCAGACAGGTGGGACACAGGTGTCACCCTTCCCTATGACACACCTGGGTGACCACCAGGGTGGGGCACAAGTGACGCAGGTGAGGACCAGAGGGGGGTGTGGCCCCGTGACACACCTGGGGTACAGGTGAGGCCCAGGGTGTGGCAGTGGGTGTGGCAGTGGGCGTGGCAGGGCACAGGAGACACGGGGGTGTGGCCCCACCACACCTGGGCTGTGGACTGGGTGGGGCACAGGTGCCAAGGGGGGGTGTGGCAGTGGGCGTGGCCAGGTGACGCACCTGTGTCATGGACTGCGTGGCCGGGTAGCCGCTGATGGCGCTGGTGCCCTCGGTCTGCGCGTCCAGCTGCCCGTCAGCCACCTGGATCACCCGGTACATCACCTGGCACAGGTGGGACAGCGGACAGGTGTGACACACAGACCCCCCAAACCCCCACTGTCCCCACCTGGATCACCTGGCACAGGTGGGACACTCAGACCCCCCAAACCCCCACTGTCACCACCTGGATCACCTGGCACAGGTGTGGCATCTCACACAGGTGTGACACACAGACCCCCCAAACCCCCACTGTCCCCACCTGGATCACCTGGCACAGGTGGGACACTCAGGTGTGACACACAGACCCCCCAAAGCCCCACTGTCACCACCGGGATCACCTGGCACAGGTGGGACACTCAGGTGTGACACAGAAACCTCCCCAGAGCCACCCCACGGTGTCCCCCAGGTGTCCCCAGGTGTGCCACACCTGCCCTTGGTGTGGAACCAAAGCCCACCAATGACCTGGTGCCCCCCGAGATCAGCACAGGTGCCCCCCAGGTGTGTCCAGCTGAATCCCGGATGTGCCCAGGTACCCCCAAGCCCCCCAGGTGTCCCCAGGTGTGCCCAGGTGTGCCCAGGTGTGCCAGGTGCGTACCTGCGTGCCGCCGCCCTCGGTCCTGAACACATACTTGACGCCGGGGTCGGGGAAGGTGGCGGCCGATTGGATGCTGGCGATGGCCACGCTGGTGGGGTCCTCACCTGTGGCCACCGAGCCTGGGGGCACCCCAAATTAGGGAACCCCAAATTAGGGAACCCCAAATTAGGAGAACCCCAAATTAGGAGAACCCCAAATTAGGGGACCCCAAATTAGGGGCACCTCAATTAGGGGGGTCCCAAATTAGGGGACCACAAATTAGGAGGGCACCCAAATTAGGGGCACAAATTAGGGGTGCCCCAAATTAAGGGCACAAATTAGGGGCGCCCCAAATTAGAGGAACCCCAAATTAGGAGGGCACCCAAATTAGGGGAACCCCAAATTAGGGGAGAACCCGAATTAGGGGAACCCCAAATTGGGGGCGCCCCAAATTAGGAGGGCACCCAAACTAGGGAAGAACCCAAATTAGGGGAACCCCAAATTAGGGGAACCCCGAATTGGGGAGAGGGAACCCCAAACTTGGAAGGGACACAGGACGGGGGGCACCCCAAATTGGGGAGGGGGCACTCCACACTGGGGGTGGGGGGGACACAAAACCTCCCCAATCCCCACCACCCCAAAGACCCCAAAATCTCCTCAAATCCCCCCAAAATCTCCTCAAATCCCCTCAAAAAAACCCAAATCCCCCCAAAAAACCCCAAATCCCCCCCAAAAAAACCCCAAATCCCACCCAAAAACCCCAGTTTTGGGGTCCCCCCTCACCTTCCTGGATCTGCACCGTCCCCTCCTCGGTCTCGGCTGCTTTTTGCTGCCTGGGGGGAGAACAAAACAGTGAGGGGGGGTCCCTGGGCCCCCCAAAACCCCCAAACCCCAAATCTGGGACTCCCCCAAATGTCCCACCCCCCGTGTGTCCCACCCATGGGGCAGTTTTGGGGGTTTTGGGGCCATTTTGGGGTCCCAGATCAGATTTGGGGGGGTTCTTGGGGCAGTTCTGGGTGTCCCAGGGAGTTTTGGGGGGTGCCAGGTTAAAGTTTTGGGGTCCTGGGTCAGACCTGGGGGGTGCTGGGACCATTTTGGGGGGGTCCGAGGTCATCTTGAGGGGTTCCCAGAGCAGAGTTTGGGGTCCTACTGCAGGTTTTGGAGGTCCCAGGTGAATTTTGGGGGTCCCAGGTGAGTTGTTTTGGGGTTCCGGGTGAGTTTAGGGGGTCCCAGGTGAGTTTTGGGATCCCAAGTGAGTTTTTTGGGGGTCCCAGGTGAGTTTTTTGGGGTCACAGGTGAGTTTTGGGGGTCCCAGGTGAGTTTTTTTGGGGTTCCAGGTGAGTTTTGGGGGTCCCAGGTGAGTTTTGGGGGTGCCAGGCGAGTTTTTTTGGGGTTCCAGGTGAGTTTTTTGGGGGTCCCAGGTGAGTTTTGGGGTCCCAGGGTAGTTTTGGGGTGCCACTCACCCCTTCATGGCTCGGCTCCCTCGGGCATCAGTGGGGCGGGAGTGGAGCAGCCACGTGGCCTTCAGAGCCCTGGGGGACATGGGGACAGCATGGGGACATCATGGGGACACGGGGACAGCATGGGGACATCATGGGGACACGGGGACAGCATGGGGACATCATGGGGACACGGGGACAGCATGGGGACAGCATGGGGACAGTGGGGATATGGGGACAGCGGGGTCGGGGACATGGGGACAGTGGGGTCAAGGACACAGGGACAAGGGGACATGGGGACAGCGGGGTCAGGGACACGGGGACAGGGGAACAGTGGGGTCGGGGACATGAGGACAGTGGGGTCAGGGATATGGGGACATGGGGACAGTGGGGTCAGGGACACCAGGACACGGGGACAGTGGGACACAAGGGACATTGGGGTAAGGGACAGCAGAGTCAGGGACATGGTGACACTGGGACACCGGGATATGGGGACACTGGGGTCAGGGACAGGGGTGGGGACAGCACGGGGTCACACAGATGGGGACAGGGACAAGGGGACAGGGACAGGACAGGGACAGGGATGGGGATACAGGGACAGGGACATGGGGACAGGGACAAGGGACACCAGGGTCAGGGACAGGACAGGGACATGGGGACAGGACAGGGACACAGGGATGGGGACAGGGATGGGGATACAGGGACAGGGACATGAGGACAGGCACATGGGACAGGGACACAGGGATGGGGACATGGGGACAGGGACACAGAGGGTTCAGGGACAGGACAGGGACACGGGGTCACAGGAGGTGAGGCATGGGGACAGGAACTGGGACATGGAGACAAGACCAGGATGGGACACCGGGATGGGGACATCGGGATGGGGACACCAGGATGGGGACACCGGGATGGGGACATCGGCCATCCTGACCAGACACTGGCCACCACCATGGGACACGGGCCACCACAGCAGGACAATGACCCCTGTGACCACTCGCTGGTCACCACCATGGGACACTGGCACTGTGACGGGACAGTGGCCACCATGATGGGACAGTGGCCACCATGACCAGCCACCACAAGTGACCACTGGCCACCACCTGTGACCACAGCCACACCTCCAGGTGTCCCCTCATTGCCCACGTCCCCAAAGCCACCAGCTCCCCCAGGGTGACACTTCGGGGTCACCCCAAGGTGGCCATAACCGCCCCCCCTCAGTGTCCCCAGTGTCACCTCCCCCGGGATGGGGGAAATGGGGGGGCAGCGGGGGGGGGGTGACAAGTTGGGGGTCACTCGGGGCAGGGTGACAAACGGGGGACACGGATGAGGGGGTGACAGTGACACACCCAGAGGGACAAGAACCGGGGGGGGGACACTTTGGGGGTGACAGTGACAGTGACACAGCCAGGGTGGGACACAAGGTGGGGAGGGGGACACAAAACCAGAGGGGGGTGACAGTGGCAGAGCTGGGGGGGGACAGGAAGGGGGTGACAGAGTGGGGACACACAAAGGGGGTGACACCAAGGGGGGGGGGGTGACACCAAGGGGGGGTGGGGGGTGACACAGGGGGAGGGGTCGGACACGGAAGCGGGGGGTGACAAAGTGAGAGGTGACAGCGACAGAACGAGGACACACACACGGGGAGGGGGGACAGAGGGGGGGAGGCGACATTAAAGGGGTGACAAAGTGGGGAGGGGGATGGGGGTGGGGGGGGAGGTCCACAACGGGGGGGGCGCCACCGCCACAGCGGGGCGGGGACACCAAACGGCGACAAAGTGGGGGTGACAGCGACACGGGGGGAGGGGACAGCACCGGGGGGTGACAGCGCCTGAGGGGGGGGCGCACCCCCGCCGCCCCCTCCCCTCCCCCACCGCCCCCACCGCCCCTCCCCGCGGGCCCCGCGGGCGCGGCCGCTCCCCCCGCCGCTGCCGGGGCCGTGCCGGGGTGGCGGTGCCCCGTTCCCGGTGGGGTTCGCCGCAGCGGAGCCCCCCGGGGACCCCCCCCGGTACCTCTCGGCCTCGGGCCCTGCGCGCCTTCGGCCCCTTGTCTCGCCATGGGCCCCGCACATGCGCACGGCGCCGCCGCGCCGCCATCTTGGGCGCGGGCGGAAGTTTCCCCCCTCCTTCACGCCGAAGCTCCGGCCCGGCTTCGCGCCGCCATCTTGGGGCCGGGCAATAGCCGCCCTCAGGGCCGGGCGCCATCTTAGCGCGCGGGGCCGCGCGCGCGGCGCCATCTTAGACGGCGAAGGCGCTTCCGCCGCTTCCGCCGCCATCTTGGGTGAGGGCGGCGCCATGTTGGAGGAGGGCGGCGCTCAGTGAGGGGAGCGGCGGGGATGTGGGGACAAACCGGGCGGTCCCGTGGGTGAGACACCCCCGCCCGACCCGCCGGTACCGGAGGGGTTTGGGGGGATGAGCTCGGAGAGGGCGGGGCGCCGCCGTGGTGAGGCCGCTCTGGGCGCCGCCATGTTGAGGCGAAGATGGCGGCGGTGTAAACAAAGGCCGGGGGTTGTGGAGGGGCTCGTGGGGCCTCGGCGGCCCCTCGGTGTCTCCGTGCCCCCGTGGGCCTGTGCCCCGTGTCCCCGTGTGCCCACAGCCACGCGTCCCAGTGTCCCCATGGCTCCCTGTCCCAGTGTCCCCATGGCCCTGGTGTCCCCAGATGACCTCAGGCCCCGGTGTCCCCAAATGTCCCCATATCCCAGTGTCCCCACATCTCCCTGTCCCAGAGTCCCTAAATTATCTCATGTCCACATATCCAAATGGCCCCATGTCCCCAGGTGACCTCAGACCCCAATGTCCCCAAATTTCCCATATCCCAATGTCCCCGTGTCATCCTGTCCCAGTGTCCCCGAATGTCCCCATGTCCCAATGTCCTCACATCTCCCTGTCCCAGAGTCCCTAAATAACCTCATATCCCCATATCCAAATGTCCCCATGTCCCCCTTTCCCAATGTCCCCAATGTCCCCAATGTCCCCCTTTCCCAATGTCGCAAATATCCTAAATATCCCCAATGTCCCCATGTCCCCAATGTCCCCATGTCCCCACATCCCAATTTCCCATGTCTCCGTGTCCCTTTGTCCCCAAACGTCCCCAAATGTCCCCCAAATGTCCGAATTTCCCTTCAAAAAGGCCATTTTTTGTGTTTGATCTTTGCCATTTTCCCTCCAGGAGTCGGAAAAATCCAATTTTTGGCCTCGTTAAAGGTCAGTTGTTAATTAGATGTCATTTCATTATTAAATGGAATTATTTAAAATTATATTTGTATTATTTTTGTGTAGCTATCTAACTATACGTGTCCACATTTTAATTTATTATGTAGTTGTGTTGTATGATATTCAAACTCTGTATTTGCATATATTTGCATATAATAATATTGCTTATAATTAATCTCTCAATTAAAAATTGTGAAAAATTTGGGTCATTTTGGGTTGGATTTGGCAACCCAATTCTGAAAAAAACCCCAAAAAGTTATAAAAAGTGTAGAATGTAATCAGTATGTAAATAATAATAATTGAAAAATAAATATTTGTATTATTTAATGAATAATAAAAATAAACACCAGCAACCCCCCAGCATCTCTCATACTGGAACTCCCACCTTGTTATTTTTATTATTAGCAGTTAATTACCATTTTATCATTATTTATTTGCACTCTGCTCAGGGGGGGCCCTGCCCGCGCTCAGCGCTCGTCCCCCCCAACTCCCGAGGGGACTTGGGGGGCTCCCAGGGGGACTTGGGGGGGTCCCGGTGGGATTTGGGGGGGTCCCGGTGGGATTTGGGAGGGTCCTGGGGGGTCCCGGGGGGACTTCGGGGCATCCCAGGGGGATCTGAGGGATTCCCGATGGGATTTGGGGGGGTCCCGGTGGGATCTGGGGGGGTCCCGGTGGGATTTGAGGAGGTCCCAGAGGGATTTGGGGGGTTCCGATGGGTCCCAGTGGGATTTGGGGGGGTCCCGGTGGGATCTGGGTGGGTCCTGGTGGGATTTGGGGGGGTCCCGGTGAGATTTGAGGGGGTCCCAGTGGGATTTGGGGGAGTCCCGGTGGGATTAGGGGGTGTCCCAGAGGGATTTGGGGGGGTCCTGGTGGGATTTGGGGGGGTCCCGGTGGGATTTGGGGGGGTCCCGGTGGGATCTGGGGGGGTCCCGGTGGGATTTGAGGGGGTCCCAGTGGGATTTGGGGGCTCCCGATGGGTCCCGGTGGGATTTGGGGGGGTCCCGGTGGGATTTGGGGGGGTCCCGGTGGGATTTGAGGAGGTCCCAGTGGGATTTGGGGGGGTCCCGGTGGAATTTGGGGGGTCCCGATGGGTCCCAGTGGGATTTGGGGGGGTCCCGGTGAGATTTGAGGGGGTCCCGGTGGGATTTGGGGGGGTCCCGGTGGGATTTGGGGGGGTCCCGGTGGAATTTGGGGGGTCCCGATGGGTCCCAGAGGGATTTGGGGGGGTCCCGGTGGGATTTGGGGGGGTCCCGGTGAGATTTGAGGGGGTCCCGATGGGATTTGGGTGGGTCCCAGAGGGATTTGGGGGGGTCCCGGTGGGATTTGAGGAGGTCCCAGTGGGATTTGGGGCGTCCCGATGGGTCCCAGAGGGATCTGGGGGGGTCCCGGGGGAATTTGGGGGGGTCCCGGGAGGGCGTGGGCGAAGTGGGGTTTGGGGGGCACCACGGGCACGGCCCGGGCCAGCAGCACCCGCGCCCCCAAAATGGGGAGGGGGCGGCGGGAGCTGCGCGGGGGGGCCGGGAGCGGCCCCAGGGATTTGGGGCGCCCGTCCCGGATCGGATTTGGGGGTCCCGGGGGGTCCCGAGATTTGGGGGGCTCAGCCAGGATCGGCTGGAGCGATTTGGGGCGCCCATCCCAGATGGGATTTGGGGGTCCCGAGGGGTCCCGGGATTTGGGGGATTCGTCCCAGATCAGCTCCAGGGGTCTGGGGGTGTCCCAGGATTTGGGGGGCTCAGCCAGGATCGGCTCCAGGGGTTTGGGGGTCTCCGGGGATTTGGGGGGCTCTGAGACTCTGGGGGGCTCGTCCTGGATCAGCTTCAGGGGTCTTGGGGGCTCATCCCAAATCGGCTCCAGGGATTTTGGGGGCTGCAAGGATTTGGGGGGCTCATCCGGGATCAGCTCCGGGATTTTGGGGGGCTCATCCGGGATCAGCTCCGGGATTTTGGGGGGCTCATCCCAAATCGGCTCCGGGATTTTGGGGGGCTCATCCCAGATCAGCTCCGAGGGCCTGGGGGTCTCCAGGTTTTTGGGGGGCTCGTCCTGGGCCAGCTGCAGGTTTTTGGGGGGAGCTCCAGGGGTCCGGGTGGTCCCGGGGGTGACAGAACTTGGGGCCGGGGTCTCGGGGGGCTCCCGGGGGGGCTCTGCCAGGGGCGGGGCTGGAGGACACCCCCCTAAATCCTTTTCTGGGGGTGTTTGGGTCAGAATCTCTGGGGTCTCCAGGACTTTCGGGATTTCTGGGGTCTCCAGGACTTCTGGGATTTCTGGGATCTCCAGGACTTTTGGGGTCTCTGGGGTCTCTGAGGTCTCCAGGACTTTTGGGATCTCTGGGGTCTCTGAGGTCTCCAGGACTTTTGGGATCTCTGGGGTCTCCAGGATTTTTGGGATCTCTGGGATCTCCATGAGTTTTAGGATCTCTGAGGTCTCTGGGATCTCTGGGATCTCCAGGGCTTTTAGGGTCTCTGGGGTCTCTAGGATCTCCAGGACTTTTGGGATCCCAGGAGTCTCTGGGATCTCTGGGATCTCCAGGACTTTTGGGATCTCTGGGATCTCCAGGACTTTTGGGACCTCTGGGGTCTCCAGGACTTTCGGGATCTCTGGGATCTCCAGGACTTTCGGGATCTCGGGGATCTCCGAGGTCTCTGGGATCACTGAGATCTCCGGGATCTCTCGGTTCTCCAGGTTCTCCAGGTTCTCCAGGGCTGTCCCCTCGCCCGGGGGTCCCTCGGGGGTCCCCAGCGGGCTGAGCTCGTCGTGGGCGCTCAGGAAGATTTCGTCGGGGTCGGAGTCGGGCTCGGAGGCGCCGGGGGCCAGGAAGAACATGTCCTGCTCCGTGCACTCCTCGATGGACAGGTAACTGTCCGGCTGCTCCGCCCAGCGCTCACCTGGCTGGGGGGGGGAGGGGGGGACACGGCTGGGACCCCCAGGAGTGGCCGCGGGTGGTGTCAGTGTGTCCCCCTGTCCGTCCCAGCCCATTGATCCCGTTGATCCCATCCCAGCCCATTGATCCCACCCCATCCCACTGATCCCATTCAATCAATCCCATTGATCCCGTTGATCCCACCCCATCCCATTGAGCCCATCAATCCAATCCCATCTCACTGATCCCATTCAGTCAATCCCATTGATCCCACCCCATCCCATTGATCCCACCCCATCCCACTGAACCCATCCCATCCCATTGATCCCACCCCATCCCATCGATCACATTAATCCCATCCCATCCCATCAATCCCATTGATCCCATCCCATCAATCCAATTGATCCCACCCCATCCCACTGATCCCATCCCATGCCATCAATCCCATCGATCCCACCCCATTCTATCCCATCCCATCCCATCATCCCATCCCACTGATCTCATCCCATCCCATCAATCCCATTGATCCCACCCGTTTCTATTGATCCCATCCCATCCCCTCCTCCCCCCACCCACCGGTCCCAAATCCCGGGAATGCCGCCGGGTGCTCACGTTCATGAACCCGCTCTCCATCCCCTCCTCCATGGCCGGGAACCCTTCCCCGATCCCGAAGGTCCCATCCTCGATCCCGGGGGTCCCATCCTCGATCCCGGGGGTCCCATCCTCGATCCCGGGGGTCCCATCCTCGATCCCGGGGGTCCCATTCTCCATCCTGGTACTCAATTCCTCGATCCTGGTAGTCAATTCCTCGGTCCTGGGGGTCCCATCCTCGATGCCGGGGGTCTCATCCCCGGTCCCGGGGGTCCCATCCCCGGTCCTGGGGGTCTCATCCCCGGTCCCGAAGGTCCCATCCCCGGTCCCGGGGGTCCCATCCCCGGTCCCGGGGCTCCGCGCCGCCGCCTCCGGTTCCCCGCCGCCCTCCAGCCACGTCTCGGGGCCGTCCAGGAAGGCGAAGGAGTCGCGGAGCTCCAGGGAGAGGCGGGTCTGCTCCGCATCTTCTGCGGGGAGAGCCGGGAGCGCTCGGGAGCGGCACCTCACTCCATCCCGGGGGTCCCCGGATCCCGGTGTCCTCCCGATCCCGGTGTTCCTCCCGATCCCGGTGTCTCCCTAATCCCGATGTCCCCCCGATCCCGGTGTTCTCCCGATCCCGCCAGTCCCGGTGTCCCCCTAATTCCACTGTTCCCCCCCGATCCCGCTGTTCCCCCCCAATCCCGGTGTCTCCCTGATCCCGGTGTCCCCCTAATGCCACTGTTCCCCCCCAATCCCGGTGTCTCCCTGATCCCGGTGTCCCCCTAATGCTGCTGTTCCCCCCAAATCCCGGTGTCCCCCCGATCCCGGTGTCCCCCCAAATCCCGGTGTCCCCCTGATCCCGGTGTCCCCCCGATCCCGGTGTCCCCCTAATGCCGCTATTCCCCCCAAATCCCGGTGTCCCCCTGATCCCGGTGTCCCCCTGATCCCGGTGTCCCCCCCATCCCGGAGTCCCGCCAATCCCGGTGTCTCCCTAATCCCGATCTCCCCCCGATCCCGGTGTCCCCCCGATCCCGGTGTCCCCCCAATCCCGGTGTCCCCCTGATGCCGCTGTTCCCCCCAATCCCGGTGTCCCCCCGATCCCGGTGTCCCCCGGTGTCCCCCCGGCGGGTCTCACCGGAGCGGGGCCGGGGGTCCCGGGCGGGCTCGGGGGGGCTGCCGGGGGTGTGTTCCCGTTGCAGCGCGGGGCACGGGAGCCCGCGGGTGAGGCGGGACAGGTTGGAGGTGATGTGGAACGGGACGGTGACCGAGAAGGGGCCCGAGATGTGGAGCCCCGCGCACTTCTCGGCGCGGGAGCGGCCGCAGGGCCCCGGCCCCGCCCGGGGGGCTTTGGGGGTGGTGGGCTCCGACTTGGTGCTGCTCTCGGCCGCCGCTTCCAGGGACTCCTCCAGACTCTCGTCCAGCTCCGGGGGCGGCTCCGGGGCCGCGGGGGCCGCGTCCGAACTGTGCTGCCGCTGCGGCCGCAGCTTCACCGACAGCTTCGGCAGCAACCGAGCGGCGTCCGCGCCTGCGGAGCGGCGAGTCCGGAGCGGGCCCGGGGGTACCGGGGGTACGGGGGGTCCGGGGGTACCGGGGGTACCGGGGGAAACCGGGGTGTGGAGGGATCCGGGGGTACCGGGGGGATCCGGGGGTACCGGGGGATCCCGAGGGACAGAGGGACAATGTCATGGGGACAGAGGGACAATCCCGAGGGACAGAGGGACAATCCTGAGGGACAGAAGGACAATCCCAAAGGACAGAGGGACAATCCCGGGGGACAGAGGGACAATCCCGAGGGGACAGAGGGACAATCCCGAGGGACAGAGGGACAATCCCAAAGGACAGAGGGACAATCCCGCGGGGTCCTACCGGACGGTCCGGAGCTGAGTGAGTCCATGCTCTTGGCCGGCCGCAGAGTGACCTTCCCACACTTCTCTGGGAATGGGGCGGGAGAAGGGGATTTGGGGGAATTTTGGGGGGATTTGGGGGAATTTGGGGGGATTTGGGGGGGATTTGGGGACACAACCCCCCCCAGTCCATGGGATCCCCCCAATTCTCACCTTTCTCCTCCGCCTTCACCAGCTTCCGCTTGGCCTCGTGCCCGGAGCGGCCCAGGTTGAAGATGGATCTCCACTTCTTGGCCTTGAGGGAGCCCTTGCTCCTGTGGGGACACCTGGGATACACCTGGGCACACCTAGGGGCACCTGGGATACACCTGGGGGCACCTGAGGGCACCTGGGGGCATCTGGGGGCACCTGGGGTACACCTGGGGACACCTGGGATACACCTGGGCACACCTGGGATACACCTGGGCACACCTGGGGGCATCTGGGATACACCTGGGGGCACCTGAGATACACCTGGGGGCACCTGGGGTACACCTGGGGGCACCTGGGGTACACCTGAGGGCATCTGGGATACACCTGGGATACACCTGGGATACACCTGGGCACACCTGGGGGCACCTGGGGGCACCTGGGATACACCTGGGATACACCTGGGATACACCTGGGATACACCTGGGCACACCTGGGGGCACCTGGGATACACCTGGGCACACCTGGGGGCACCTGGGGGCACCTAAGGGCACCTGAGGGCATCTGGGATACACCTGGGATACACCTGGGGGCACCTGGGCACACCTGGGGGCACCTGGGATACACCTGGGCACACCTGAGGGCACCTGGGATACACCTGGGCACACCTGGGATACACCTGGGCACACGTAGGGGCACCTTGGCACACCTAGGGGCACATCTGGGATACACCTGGGCACACCTGGGGGCACCTTGGTACACCTGAGGGACATCTGAGCACACCTGAACACACCTCGAGGGACACCTGGGGGGTACAGCTGAGCACACCTGGCACACCTGGCACACACCTGGATCCCAGCGAGCCGGGACCAGCCGAGGCAGGCCCAGGATTCGGGGGGTCCCCGGGGCAGGGCGGGGGGTGCCACCTGTGCCCAGGTGGGCGGCTGTACCTGTGCTCGCCCAGCTCGATGATGGTGTGGTAGGGCCGCATCTGGGGGGGACCGTCACCCTGGCTGAGCGCGGCCGGGACGTGCAGGGGGGGCGACGGCCCCGGCAGGAGCAGCGAGCGACGGGGGCTGTCCCCACCTGGACCCCAAAACGGGACAGGGTCACCTGAGGGTCCTCAGTGTCCTGAGACCCCAAAACGGGACAGGGTCACCTCAGGGACCCTCAGTGTCCCCCAGACTCCCCAAAACGGGACAGGGTCACCTGAGGGGTCCTCGGTGTCCCCCAGACTCCCCAAAATGGGACAGGGTCACCTTAAGGGACCCTCAGGGTTCTGGGACCCCAAAACGGGACAGGGTCACCTGAGGGGGCCTCAGTGTCCTGAGACCCCAAAAGGGGACAGGGTCACCTCAGGGACCCTCAGGCTTCTGGCACCCCAAAATGGGACAGGGTCACCTGAGGGGTCCTCAGTGTCCTGAGACCCCAAAAATGGGACAGTGTCATCTGAGGGGTCCTCAGTGTCCCCCAGACTCCCCAAAACGAGACAGGGTCACCTCAGGGACCCTCAGGGTTCTGGGACCCCAAAACTGGACAGGGTCACCTTGGAGACCCCAACCTGGAAGCAAGGAGTGACATGGGGACAGTCCCCACCTGGGACCCCAAAATGTGACAGGGTCACCTGAGGGGTCCTCAGTGTCCCCCAGACTCCCCAAAACAGGACAGGGCCACCTCAGGGACCCTCAGGCTTCTGGGACCCCAAAATATGAGTTTCACTTCAGGGACCCCATCCTGGGAGCAGAAAGTGACACGGGGACAGTCCCCACCTGGGACCCCCCAAAAAATGGGGTGTCCCCGCAGTGTCCCCGCAGTGTCCCCACGGTGTCCCTGCGGCGTCCCCACGGTGTCCCCGCAGTGTCCCCACGGTGTCCCCGCGGTGTCCCCACAGTGTCCCCACGGTGTCCCCGCGGTGTCCCCAACCTCGGAGCGGCGCGTCCCCGAAGAGCTGCTCGACGTGGGTGAGGATGAACTCCACCACGATGGACTGCACGCGCACCTCCATGAACGCCGCCGTGCCGTTGAACCCCGAGGCCTCGATGTCCCTCGAGCTGGGGACAGCGGGGACACCCCGGGTGAGGGGACAGCGGGGACAGAGGGGACACCCCGGGGTGAGGGGACAGCGGGGACACCCCGGGGTGAGGGGACAGCGGGGACAGCGGGGACACCCCGGGGTGAGGGGACAGCGGGGACACCTCAGGGTGAGGGGACAGCGAGGTCACTTCGGGAGAGGGGACAGTGGGGACACTTTGGGTGGGGGACAGCAGGGTCACCTCAAGATGGAGGGTGATGGGGCTGAGGGTGACAGAGGTGACAGTGACAGGGCTGAGGGTGACAGAGGTGACAGTGACAGGGGTGGCAGTGACAGAGTTGAGGCTGACAAGAGTGGCAGTGATGGGACTGACAGTGACAGGGCTGAGAGTGACAAAGCTGAGGGTGACAAGGCTGAGGGTGACTGAGGGTAACAGGACTGGCAGTGACAGGGCTGAGGGTGACAAGAGTGGCAATGATGGGACTGAGGGTGCCAGCACGGGTGACAACACCGGGTGACAGCATTGGGTGACAGCACCGGGTGACAACACCGGGTGACAACACCAGGTGACAGTGCCGGGTGACAACACCGGGTGACAACACCGTGTGCCAGCGCCAGGTGACAGCGTCGTGTGCCACTGGATGACAACACTGGGTGCCAGCACAGGGTGACAGCACAGGGTGACAACACTGGGTGACAACACCGGTTGACAACACCGGGTGATAGCGCCGGGTGACAGCACCAGGTGACAGCAGCGGGTGACAACACCGGGTGCCAGCACCGGGTGCCAGCGCCGGGTGACAACACCAGGTGACAACACCGGGTGACAACACCGGGTGACAACACCGGGTGACAACACCGGGTGACAACACCGGGTGACAACACTGGGTGACAACACCGGGTGACAACACCGGGTGACAACACCGGGTGACAACACCGGGTGACAACACTGGGTGACAACACCAGGTGACAACACCGGGTGACAACACCGGGTGCCAGCAGCGGGTGACAACACCAGGTGACAACACCGGGTGACAGCACCGGGTGACAACACCGGGTGACAACACCGGGTGACGCTCACCGCAGCAGGTTGGGGGCCCAGACGATGGCCAGGTTCCGCGCGTGCATGTTGGTGCGCCCGCTGTGCGCCGCCATGCGCAGCAGGTGCCGCATCAGGAACTCCAGCGTCCTGCGGCACCGGGGACACCTCAGCCGGTGCCACCCGGGCCAGGGGACACCGCCGGGGCCGCGGGGACGTCCCCAACCCCTTCACCTGTAGTGCGGCGCCGGCAGCTCCTTGAGCACCTCCTTGATCTTCACCAGCCGCGCCTCCTCCATCTGGATGGCCACGGCGTCCTGCGGGGACGGCGCGGTGACGGGGACGCTCTGGGGACATTCGGGGACACTCGGGGACACTCGGGGACAGGGACTCACGGCGAACTTGTCGTAGAGCTGGTAGGTGAGCAGGGGGTTGGGCAGCTCGCGGCAGTAGGCCTTGCACAGGGAGCTGACGCAGTGAACGTCCTGCAGGTAAACGTCCCGCGACAGGTCCGGGCTGCGCTGCGCCTCGAACTCCTGCCTGGGGTGTGGGATTGGGGTTTGGGATTGGGATTTGGGATCAGGGTTTGGGATTGGGGGTTTGGGAACAGGATTTGGGGTTTGGGATCAGGATCGGGGTCTGGGCTGCACTGCGCCTCGAACTCCTGCCTGGGGTGTGGGGTTTGGGGTTTGGGATCAGGATTTGGGGTTTGGGATCGGGGTTTGGGGTTTGGGATCGGGGTTTGGGGTTTGGGATCGGGATTGGGGTCTGGGCTGCACTGCGCCTCGAACTCCTGCCTGGGGTGTGGGGTTTGGGGTTTGGGATTGGGGGATATGGGAATATGGGATCGGGGTCCGGGCAATTCTGGGTTCCCCCAGGAGCAGGGGAGAAAAGCACTCAGGGAGAGAAGCAGAGAAGGGGAAAATTGCCCCGAAACCGGGAAAGTGAAAGAGAACGGGCAGGGAGAACCCCAGAAGGAATAAAGAGGGAAAAAAGGGAAGGAAAGGAGCGGGGGAAGAGGGGCCGGAGCGGGATGGGAGAAGGGGGGAGGGGGAACGGGCCCATCCCCCCTTCTCTGTCAGCCCGAGTCCAGTCCCATCCCTGCTTCCACCTTTTCTCATCCCATTCCTGTCCCCTCCCTCCATCCCAGTCCCGGCATCCTCCAGTCTCCATCCCCATCCCACCGATCCCACTGATCCCACTGAGCCCATCCCATCCCATCCCATTGATCCCATCCCACTGATCCCATCCCATCCCATCCCATCCCATCCCATCCCATCCCATCCCATCCCAATCCCAGCCTCCGCCCCATCCCCATCCCACCCCATTCCCGACTCCATCGCATCCTGATCCCCATTCCCAGCCCCGTTCCCACCCCAATCCCTGCCCCATTCCGATCCCAGTATTGATCCCCCCATCGGCCTCTGTCCCAATCCCGCCCGGTTCCCACCCGATCCCAGTCCCGCCTCAATCCCATCCCTATCTCTCCCTATCCCTGTTCCTGTCCTCATTCCATCCCCATCCCACTGATCCCATTCCATCCCACTGATCCTATTAATCCCATCCCGCCAATCCCATCGATCCCATCCCACTGATCCCATCGATCCCATCCCACTGATCCCATTGATCCCATCCCACTGATCCCATCCCATCCCATCGATCCCATCCCGCCGCTCCCGCTGACCGCAGCCGCTGGGTGTTGGAGGACACCCCGGACAGGCGGTAGATGCCATCGACCACCCCGTGCTGCTCCACGAACTCCGTGCAGCTCCGGAGCACCTGCGGCACTGCGGGACACCGCCCGACCCCGGGGGATCCCGGTGAGTTGGATCCCAGGGATCCCGCTGATCCCAGATCCCACAGGGTCCCAGTCAGACCAGATCCCACAGGGTCCCACTCAGCCCAGATCCCATGGGATCCCGCTGATCCCAGATCCCACAGGGTCCCACTGAGCCTGGGTCCTGCAGGGTCTGAGTGATCCCAGATCTCATTGGTCCCAGATCCCAGGGGATCCCAGTGAGCCTGAATCCCACGGGATCCCACTGCTTCCAGATCCCACAGGATCCCACTGATATCAGGTCCTAGGGGATCCCACTGATCCCGGATCCCAGGGGATCCCACTGGTCCCAGATCTCACTGGTCTCAGATCCACCAGGGTCTGACTGATCCTGGATCCAACAGAGTCTGATCCCAGATCCGAGAGCATCCAACTGAGCCCAGATCTTACACAACCCAGCTGATCCTGGATCCATCAGAACCAAACAGATCCTGGATCCACCAGAGCCCGGCTGATCCTGGATCCACCAGCCAACACCCCCTGGATGTCTCCACAGGGTCCCTACACTGGTCCTGGGCCACCAATTCCACAGGGATGGAGCCACCAACTCCATGGGGATGAGGCCACCAAATCCCAAGGAACAGGGCCTGCAAATCCCAAAGGATGGAGCCACCAAATCCATGGGAATGCGACCACCAAATCCCAAGGAACAAGGCCACCAAATCCCAAGGAACAAGGCCACCAAATCCATGAAGATGAGGCCACCAAATCCACGAGGATGAGGCCACCAAATCCCAAAGGATGGAGCCACCAAATCCATGAGGATGCAACCACCAAATCTGTGGAGATGAGGCCACCAGATCCCGAAGGATGGAGCCAAGGAACAGACCCCCCACTCCTCAGGGCCCCCCGAGATTGGAGCCCCACCGAGCTCCAACCCCCCCAAATCCCGGCCGAGCCTCGGTGGCCGCGACGCTTCCTGGAGCCCCGGTGACGCAACGCGTGGCGCAAGTCCCCTCCGAGTCCCCTCCGAGTCCCCTCCGGGGCCCCTTCCCCGCTTCCGTCGGTGGCCCTGGTGGCCCTGGTGGCCCAGGGGGGCTCGGGGGGTGGGCTGGCTGGTGGCACTCACCGTCCTGCCCCGAGCGCTGGAGATGCTCGCGGAGGTCACAGCCGAAGAGGCGCTCCCGGGAGCCGCCCTTGCGCCTCGCCCGCTGCCGGGCCTTGAGCGCCAGGGACATGGGGACACGGGGACACGGCCGGGGACAGCGCGGGGACACGGCCGGGGCGCGGGGGCCACGCCAGGGGGGTCCCGGCGCTGTCCCCGTGGGGGTGGCAGGAAGGCGGAGGCCGCGCTCGAGGCGCTTCCTGCTCCCCGTGGCCGCGAAACCACAGCGAGGGCGGGGACGCCTGCGCACACGCGTGTGCAAGGGGCACGCCCTGGGGACAGGGGACATGTTGGTGTGAAAGGGGCATGCCCTGGGGATACCTGAGTGTGCAAGGGGCACGCCCTGGGGACAGGGGACACGCCCTGGGGACACCTGAGTGTGCAAGGGACATGCCCTGGGGATACCTGAGTGTGCAAGGGACATGCCCTGGGGACAGGGGACACGCTGGTGTGAAAGGGGACACGCCCTGGGGACACCTGAGTGTGCAAGGGGCACGCCCTGGGGACAGGGGACACGCCCGGGGGACACCTGATTGTGCAAGGGACACGCCCTGGGGACAGGGGACACGTTGGTGTGAAAGGGACACGCCCTGGGGACACCTGAGTGTGTGAGGGACACATCCTGGGGACATGTGAGTGTGCAAGGGGCACGCCCTTGGGACAGGGGACACGCGGGCGTGAAAGGGGACATGCCCTGGGGACACCTGAGTGTGCAAGGGACATGCCCTGGGGACAGGGGACACGCTGGTGTGAAAGGGGACACGCCCTGGGGACACCTGAGTGTGCAAGGGACACGCCCTGGGGACATGTGAGTGTGCAAGGGACATGTGGGTGTGAAAGGCGACACACCTGGGGACACCTGAGTGTGCAAGGGACATGCCCTGGGGACACCTGAGTGTGCGAGGGACACGTCCTGGGGACAGGGGACACGCCCTGGGGACACCTGAGTGTGCAAGGTGACACACCTGGGGACACACAGGTGTGCAAGGGACACGCCCTGGGGACAGGGGACACCTGAGTGTGCAAGGGACACACCCTGGGACATGTCAATGTGTGTGACACACCTGGGGACACACCTGGGGACACACCTGGGGACACCTGGGGACGTCCTTGCATGCCCCCTTTCACACCTGCACCCCCCACCAGCTCACCTGCACCCCCCAGCCCCGCCCACTCCACCCTCACACCCACAGTGCCACCCCTGTGTCACCCACGTGTCACCCCTCATGTCTCAGTGCCACCCCCGTGTCCCCCCCCATGTCCCCAGTGTCCCCAAGTGTCACACTCGGGCCCAGTCCCGCGGGTCCTTTATTTACAGGGTCTATACACGGCTGTACAGCCCCTCCCCCGGCCGGGGAGGGGACACGGCTGTCCCCAAGTGCCACACGGCTGTCCCCAAGTGCCACCCAGGGGACACGGCTGTCCCCAAGTGCCACCCAGCCCAGGAGAGAGGGGACACGGCTGTCCCCAAGTGCCACCCAGCCCGGGGGGCTTGGGGGGACACGGGGGCTCCTGCCCCATCGGTCCTGGGGAGTCCTGGGGGTTCCCAGTGTCACCACGAGTGTCCCCAGACCGCGGTTGGGTGGCACTTGGGGACAGGAGCTTGTCCTGGGGCTTATCCCCAACCTGTGGTGGCAGGGAGGTGGCACTTGGGGACCAGAGTCCATCCTTGACCCCACCTCAGCAGGGAGGGGACACTCGGGGCCTGGAGCATGTCCTGGGGTCCTTGGTGGTGTCCCCAAGCCAGTGACAGCAGGGAGGTGGCACTTGGGGACAGGAGAATGTCCTTGAGCTCAGTGGTGGTGTCCCCAAGCCTGTGCCAGCAGCGAGGTGACACTTGGGGACTGAAGAATGTCCTGGGGCTTGGTGGCGTCCCCAGCTCCACGTTGCCAGCAGCGAGGTGACACTTGGGGACCGGAGTCTTGGCTTGACCCCACACCAGCAGGGAGGTGACACCCGGGGACCGCAGCCAGTCCTGGGGCACTGTCCTTGTCCCCAGCCCCACACCAGCAGGGAGGTGACACAGCCCTGGGGCACTGTCCTTGTCCCCAGCCCCACACCAGTGGGGAGGTGACACAGGTGACACAGTCCTGGGGCACTGTCCTTGTCCCCAGCCCCACACCAGCAGGGAGGTGACACAGGTGACACAGTCCTGGGGCACTGTCCTTGTCCCCAGCCCCACACCAGCAGGGAGGTGACACAGGTGACACAGTCCTGGGGCACTGTCCTTGTCCCCAGCCCCACACCAGCAGGGAGGTGACACAGGTGACACAGTCCTGGGGCACTGTCCTTGTCCCCAGCCCCACACCAGCGGGGAGGTGACACAGGTGACACAGTCCTGGGGCACTGTCCTTGTCCCCAGCCCCACACCAGCGGGGAGGTGACACAGTCCTGGGGCACTGTCCTTGTCCCCAGCCCCACACCAGCGGGGAGGTGACACCTGGGGACTGAAGTCCATCTTGACCCCACACCAGCAGGGAGGTGACACCCGGGGACCGGAGCGACGGGAACAGAGCCAGGCGGGCACAGGCGAGGGCCGGCTGTCCCCAGGTGTCCCCAGGTGTCCCCAGGTGTCCCCAGGTGTCCCCAGGTGGGCGGCTCACACCAGGTGGCCGCGGCCGTTGATGTAGATGCCGTTGGAGCTGGGCTTGGCCTGCAGCATCCCGTTCTCCTGCACGAAGTGCGTCATGGCCGCCTTGATGGGGTCCCCCCCGCCGCCCCCGTCCTCCTCCTCCTCCTTGGGGTCCTTCCCGCCCGGTGGCGGTGGCACCGCGGTGACAATGGGGACCACGGGGACGTCGGTCTGCGTCTCGATCTCCCGCACCGTGGAGAGCGTGGAGTAACTGCGGCCCTCGGGCTCCTCGCTCTGGGGACAAGGGACAGGGGACACGTCAGGGGCGCCACCGGGCGTGGGGCGGGGATTGATGGGGACGTGGGCACCGTGGGGACATTGGCACCGTGGGGACATTGGCACCATGGGGACATTGGCACCATGGGGACATCAGCATGGGGACATGGGGGCCATGGGGACCAATGGGACCAATGGGGACATAGGCACTGTGGGGACATGGGGACCATGGGGACATGGACAAGGAGGACATCACCATGGGGACATTGGCACTGTGGGGACATCAGCATGGGGACACAGGAACCATGGGGACCAATAGGGACACAGCCACCATGGGGACATGGGCACCGTGGGGACATTGGCACCATGGGGACATGGACAAGGAGGACATCACCATGGGGACATTGGCACTGTGGGGACATCAGCATGGGGACATGGGGACCAATGGGGACACAGGCACCGTGGGGACATGGGGACCATGGGGACATCAGCATGGGGACACAGGGACCATGAGGACATGGACAAGGGGAGACAACACCATGGGGACATTGGCACCGTGGGGACATTGGCACCGTGGGGACATGGACAAGGGGGACATCACCATGGGGACATGGGCACCGTGGGGACACAGGGATCACTGGGGACATTGGCACCATGGTGACCAATGGGGACATGGGCACCACAGGGACATGGGGACCATGGGGACATGGACAAGGGGGACATCACCATGGGGACATGAGCACCATGGGGACACAGGGACCAATGGGGACATTGGCACCATGGTGACCAATGGGGACATTGGCACTGTGGGGACATGGACAAGTGGGGACATCAGCACCATGGGGACATGGAAAAGGGGGGACATGGTGGGGACCAGGTGACGTGGGCACCACAGGGACATGGGCATCACCAGCGACACAGGCACTGCGGGGGTGACAGGAGAGTCACTGGGGACACAGACACCCCCAGGAACGCGGTGCCCCCGTGTCCCCCGTGTCCCCATGTCCCCGTGGCTCACCATGGCGGAGCAGATGCTGGTGCCACGCAGGCTGTCCCCTCGCAGGCTGTCCCCTCGCAGGCTGTCCCCTCGCAGGCTGTCCCCTCGCAGGCTGCCCTGGCGACTCTCCATCCGCAGCTGCAGCGTCTCCTCCAGCTGGGACAGCCCGGTCAGCGCCCAGGACACCCCGGACACCCCATGGACACCCCATGGACACCCCATGGACACCCCAAAGTCTGACCCCATGGACACCCCATGGACACCCCATGGACACCCCATGGACACCCCATGGACACCCCCGGACACCCCATGGACACCCCAAAGTCTCCCCCCATGGACACCCCTGGACACCCCATGGACACTCCCAGACACCCCTGGACACCCCAGACACCCCATGGACATTCCATGGACTGACCCCATGGTCACCCCTGGACACCCCATGGACACCCCAAAGTCTGACCCCATGGTCACCCCATGGACACCCCATGGACTGACCCCATGGACACCCCAACATCTGACCCCATGGTCACCCCTTGACACCCCATGGACACTCCCAGACACCCCATGGACATTCCATGGACACCCCATGGACACCCCATGGACACTCCCAGACACCCCTGGACACCCCAGACACCCCATGGACATTCCATGGACACCCCATGGACACCACTGGACACCCCATGGACTGACTCCATGGACACCCACGGACACCCCCAGACACCCCAAAGTCTGACCCCATGGACACCCCAATGTCTGACCCCATGGTCACCCCTGGACACCCCATGGACACCCCCGGAAACCCCATGGACACCTCATGGACTGACCCCACGGACACCCACGGACACCCCAAAGTCTGACCCCATGGACACCCCACAGCCCAACCCAAGCCCCCTTCCTTGGTCACCCCAAGGCCCTGCTCCCCCCACCCCGTGTCCCCCAATCCCCTCCCACGGGCCCCCCAATCCCCTCCGATGGGCTCCCCCCACCCCTGGGTGCCCCAATCCCCTCCCACGGGCCCCCCAATCCCCTCCGATGGGCTCCCCCCACCCCTGGGTGCCCCAATCCCCTCCCGGCCCCCCGGTTTCCGTGCCCCACCTGTGCCCGGGGGTCGCTGCCGTGGCTGGAGTGGAGCCTCCGGATGGAATTCTCCCGGGTCAGCGTCAGCTCCTCCTCGCTGGGGACACGGGGGACACTCAGCACCGGTGTCCCCTCCCCTGTCCCCGCATCTCCTGCTGTGTCGCCCCCTTGTCCTCCGTGTCCCTCATGTCCTGCTGTGTCCTCCATGTCTATCCCGTGTCCCCATCGTGTCCCCTACGTCCCCCATGTCCCCACATCACGCACAGCCCCCTATGCCCTCCATGTCC